ATTAATATTTTAAATTGTTTGGACTAAACTCAATCAATTTTTTTGTTATTTTGCATAATCAAAGTGTTACAAATCATTGTGTGTTACAAATGCTTGTATAGCTTCCATACTTCATTTTCATAATAGTTAATTTTTTCCAGCCTCAGTGTTCACACCAAGCCCAAACTGACCATGTTGAAATTAACATGATATAGTTTTTACTGAATATTTGCATTCAAGTTGTTTGAACTTTTCCATAATAAACAACTGAATTAAGTTTATTTGATTTATTTTTTACTTCAGAATTCATGTGTAACCTAATACTAAAATTTCTAAATATTCATTGAGATTTGAGGAGAAATGCAGCTTTAAAATTTCTTCATATGATTATTCTAGTATCCATCTGCAACACGCATGTTGTAGTTGATATCAATTGAACAATTGATATTAATTGAACAATGGATATCAATTGAACAATGGATATCATACTTGCTGATTAGACTCTATAAACCAAATAAAATTTACTAAATTAACTAATCTACATCATTTAGAATTTTACAAACTTGCTAAGATTTCTATTCTAAAACATCTTCAACCTTCAAGACAAAATCAATTTTTTTTTAGCTAGAATCAGTTGTATGTTAAAAGTTGTATGTTTGCAAAATGGATCAAAAGCATTTACAACACATTTTTAAAAACCTTGCCTATCATCAATTGAAATAGTAGCAATATATGTATACTAGCTGTCCTGACCTGTAAAATACAGGTCTTGGTAAATCTATTCAACACTGACCTTTTCTATACTTATTCATTACTTCAATATTTTTTAGTAAGCAGCAGAAAAACTAATTATATATAGAAAAACTATACTTTTTGTTTACTTTTTAAAGGTAGGAAATTTTTTTTTTCTGTTTTAATTAATTTTAAAAAACTTTAAATGTTTCGGTAGCTGTTGGGCAAATCGCTATTTGTCAACAAATTGAATATTAGAACCTGTCTAAATAATATTCAGAATACCCACTTGAAATGTGTTAAATAATTACCATCCGTAAAAGTTTCAAAAAACATGAGGAAATGTGTTTAAACTTACCGAACATACTTTTTAAATTCCCTAACTATTATAAAAAAGTTTACCTTGCCGCGTGGCAAGTTCAATTTCTTTTTTATTTTTAATTTTTGTTATGCAATGCAAAATGAAACAACTTTATTTATTTCAAAACAAATTTCTTTCTTCAAAAGTGATTTATTTTGTATTTTAGAAAAATCGAAACAAATTAAATTAAAAAAAAAAAAACCTCAGTGGTAAGAATTGAACCAGGGCCTCTGCATTAGAAACTTGGCATACTATCCACTTGACTACACAGACATTTCATCGAGTAAAGGTTTTAAAACTATATAATAATAAATAAAAGACTTTATAAAATGGAAACAAGTGCTGCAGATCAAATCATAAGGAGATGCTGCCTCAATGAGATTTTCAAGTGAAAGTAAAACTTGATATATGTTTTAGTATGTTTCAGCATCACATAATTTGAAGTTTACGTAATTTATTTTATTTACTTACACTTTAGTTGACTTTGCTTATAATAAAAAGTTCTGCAGCTCTTTCTCGCTATTACTTCAGTGTCAATGGCTGCCAAGAGTACTGTGTCAAACACGCTTGAATGAGTACTTCTAAGTTCCTAATTATAATATATGATATATTTTTTTGCGCTTTCAAGACTTTATTCATCTTATAATTACTCCTTTGAGCATATTCTATTGAAATTAAAGTAATTGCACTTCCCCACAATGATATACAAAAAAAAGTGTTAACATTTTTTTTGTATATCATTGTTTTCTTAACATTTTTTCTTTTGATAATTTGCTCACCTTAATTTTAAACATCATCATGGAAAGTAGGGTGGATCGATTTTCATAGCAAAAAAAAAAAGATTAAAAATCAATATTCCTGAGACACGAATCAATGTCTATTAATTATAAGATAAAAGTAAAAAAATATTTTTTGATTTTGATGAGATCTTGAGGTTCCTCTTTGGATTCTAAATCCTTGACGGATCCTAATATTTTTGAATTTTTTTTTTTTTATAAACTATTTCAACCTTGGATTCTAAAAAAGCAGAAAAAAAATGCTTGTTTTATCAATAATAATTTTATTAAAAAAAAATTTTTAGTGAAAAAAAAATGAAAAAAAACCCCCGTTTTGATGAAAACATTTTATTTTAATGAAAAAAACGACATTATTTTTTTTTTTAGTTTTAAATTAAAACAAATATTATATTTAAAATAAGCGTATTATTCTGCTTCTTTTGAGTACCAGGTTGATATAGTTTAGAAGAAAAAGAATTTCAACAATATTAGGATCCGTCATAAATTTAGAATCCAAAGAGGAACCTCTAAAACTCATTTAAATTAAAAAAAAAAAAAATAAGGTTCTTTTTTCACCAAAAGACATTGATTCGCAGCTCAGGCAAATCAAATTTCAAAAATTTTTAAAATTGATCCACCCTAATGGAAAGTCAGCAGCTATGAAGAAAAACCTTTACAGATGTTAGCAAAATGAATGATTTCAAGTTATGAAAGTTATGAAGTCTTACATAATATAGTATAAAACTAAGTTTTGTGTTTCGTTTGAAGAAAAAAACAAGAGTTTTTAGGGAAAGAAAAATCTATATTTTCTAGTTGCGCATTTTATACCTTCACTACGTGCTAAAAGTTTGGAAAATAATTAAATATAGTCGACTAACTCCTAATTTTTTAATCATAAAAATAATAATATATACATATAAAAACACTTAAAAACTATCAATAGTACAAACTGTCACCATATGCAAATTTGCAAATTTTATGCATTACAAAAAATGCAAAAAATGCAATACTCAAATTACAAAAAGTACAACAAATTTTATGCATAACTGCATTTTTCATATCTCCCAAAAAACTATTTAGTTTGTTGTAAAATTTATTTTTTATATTATTTAAATAAATACCTAAAGCTAGGTAAAGTTTTATCTATAATGCGCAAGCAAAAAGCCATTAAAATTGAATCGAAAACATTAGGCTGACGACAAATAATTGCCTAACACAACTATTGCCTTATAGTGCGTTATTTTAGCATGTTATATCGCCATTGAGTATATTATATATATATATATATATATATATATATATATATATATATATATATATATATATATATATATATATATATATATATATATATATATATATATATATATAAATACATATACATTTTTAATTATTTATATTTACCACAGCAGTGTCAGAAAAGCATTGTGGTTCATTCATTTCATTATGTCATAACTAAATTTTTTTTGATGATCTAATTTTTTTCAGTTGTTGATGCATTTGACACATGCTACTTAGAGTTTAACAATGGGAAGTGTGGAATTCCATCACCTGAGCAGAGTTCAAAGAGAGAATGCTGTTGTTCGAATCGTAATCATGCATTTGGGTTTTGCAATCAATGTCCTGAAAAAGGAACAGGTACATAAAAGTTACTTAATTTTGTTTATAAATTTATTCTGAATTTATTCAAATGTGATATTTATTTATTTATTATAGCTAATTTTTATAATTTAAATATTATATTTGCTTTAGGCATATTGCTATATTTATAATAAATTATTTATTAATATGTTTATTTTAATTATTATATTATATGTTCACAAAATCACTTATAAAAAAGCACGTACTTATGCACATATACACTCACACACACACACACACACATATATATATATATATATATATATATATATATATATATATATATATATATATATATATATATATATATATATATATATATATATATATATATTTATATATATATATATATATATATATGTATGTATATATATATATATATATGTATATATATATATATATGTATATATATATATATATATATATATATATATATACATACATATATATATATATATATATATATATATATATATATATATATATATATATATATATATATATATATATATATATATATATATATATATATATATATATATATATATATATATATATATATATATATATATATATATATATATATATATATATATATATATATATATATATATATATATATATATGTGTGTGTGTGTGTGTCTGTGTGTGTATATGTGTATAAGTACGTGCTTTTTTATATACTACATTATATATATATATATATATATATATATATATATATATATATATATATATATATATATATATATATATATATATATATATAATGTAGTATACTATATTAAAATAAGTTTATTTTGATTCAATCAAAATTGTTATTTTTTGATTAAATTGAAATTACTGTTTTTTAAAACTTTGTTATTATTTTTTATTACTTAGCTGAATATCGTTCATTGGTTTGTGATGATGACAAAGGTATTATTGGTCAAGGAGATGATATAACTGGAACTGATAGTAAGATTTATGATGTTATTACAAATAATTTTAATGAATTTTTGTTTTTTATTTTTTAATTACTTGTATTTTTCAAATTTTTTAAGATAATATTTGTGAGGCAAATAAGGAATTGTGCAAGTTTGGAAAATGTGAACAAAATGGTTTAAGTTTTCAATGTAAATGTAATAATGGCTATAAGTCTTCAGATGATGGAAAAAGATGTGAAGGTAAGGATTTTAAAGTTAAAGTTAAATGAACGGAATTGCTAATATTTAATCAAAATGAAAAGACTTTTTTTTTTTTTTTGGCAAATAATTTGAATATAAAAGAAAAATAATTGAAATAAAAAAGAAAAATGTCTTTATTCAGCAAAGTGTTTATTGATGAATTCTTACGGCACACTGAAGAGTGCCATATGGATACATCAATAAAAGGGGTAAAAATTAATAAAAATTTTCTAGAATAGCTCCTGTATATATATATATATATATATATATATATATATATATATATATATATATATATATATATATATATATATATATATATATATATATATATATATATATATATATATATGTATGTATATATATATCTATATATATATATATATATATATATATATATATATATATATATATATATATATATATATATATATATATATATATATATATATATATATATATATAGATAAAAGTTTTATAAATTTAGATTATAATCTTCAACAGGAATAAAATGTATTTTTATATTTGATTGTTATAAGATTATAAAAAGGATTTTTCTAAACTTTTTTTATCCAAAGTATATGAGTTATTTTAAAAACGTTGTATCCAAAGTTTGTTTAAAACGTCTTTGTATTTATATTGCATTTAAAATTTTAAGAGTACTTTGGTCTATTGTAAATATTTTAACTGCTTTTAACTGTGGTAGTGGTGTATTGATAGAGTGTTTGCTTTGTAAGCAAGAAGTTCAGAGTTTTGATTCCCACAATGTCCCAGGTATTGAACACTTTACTTGTTTTTTCTGTATAGCGGTCCTCTTCCTTCAGTCAAGATTTGTATTTAAGAGTTAAAAGATTAAGACATTGTTGAGAGACACCAATCAAAAAAAAAAAGTAGCCTCCTTGACTTTCCTGTCAAGTCCTCCTTGACTGTAGTGGGCCCTTTGTAGAGGTAAATACAGTAAACAAAAAAATTTAAAAACTTGAAACAATCACCTATAGTAAATGGTTATGAATTTTACTTTTCTTAAGTAACTTTTAAAATGATGACAATATATTCTAAATGTGTTTTTTGTTTTTATTTTCTTTTTTTTTTGTTTATCTTTTTTTAATTTTTTTTTTCTGTTTTAGAAATATATTCATATTTTTGTTTATCTGATTTTATAATATAATTTTTATCGCTTGATATTTGTTATGTTATGAATTAGTTGTAAATTTTAAATAAGTTTATTGTGTTTTTATGCATTGAATAAATGTATTATGTTTTAAAATGTTATTAACAATAAAAAGACAAACAAAAAAAAAACACAAAAGTTACTCTTAAGAGCAATGTCCTTGGTTGATGTTTTAAGTTAAGCCTTCAGATCTTTTTATTTTTTTTTAATAAAATATCCTTGGTTGATGTGTGTTTTAAGTGATTTACTTCAGCCTTCAGATCTTTTTATTTTTTTTTAATTGTATTAACATTACTGTTTTTGTTATATATATTTTCTATTACATATAGCACTTGAAAAGTATGCAGTTTGTTATAAAAACTTTGACGATGGTAAATGTACTATACCTTCAAAAAGAGAAGTTTCTAAAAGGCAATGTTGTTGTGGAAACCCAGGAAGGGCTTTTGAATTCTGTCAACAGTGTCCGGCAAAAGGAGATGGTAAACTATATATATATATATAAAGTTGTTTATTAGAATTTTTAATTAGTTTAATATGATATATTTTTAAGTTAATATTGTTTTAGATTCCTATAAGGAGCTCAGTTGCTCTGATGACAACATTTTTGATATTGACAGCGTTGACGTAAAGTTACCTGAAGACAAGAAAGGTAATACAGGAGAAACTATTAATAACAATATTGGATTTGCCAGCACTAATAATTCCATTCCAACTAAGAATAGTAATAATGGCATTGACTCCAAAGATGTAGATGATAATCTTGTAGGCACTGGTGAAGATGGGGATGTTCAATGTGATGATATGTTTTTATCAAGTTGCAACAACGGTAGGTGTGAAAAGATGAATGGAAAGTTCAAATGCTTTTGTAAGGTTGGCTATGAAAAAAATAGAAATAATTACTGTGCTGATTTGAATGAGTGCAAGAAATATGATGGTTTATGTCATGGTGGAGCTTGTGAAAATACTCCAGGCAGCTTTAAATGTAGATGTCCTGAGGGTCATGTACAAAGTCCTGATGGTTTTGCTTGTATGGACGTAGATGAATGCGAAAACTCTAGTTCATGTATCAATGGAGTATGCAAAAACTTTCCTGGTACTTTTCAATGTCGATGCAATCAAGGTTTTGAATCAGGCTTGACAGAGAGTATATGTGTTGACAGAAATGAATGCTTAACACCAGGTATCTGTCCAGGCGATAGTAAATGTTTAAATACAAATGGAAGCTACATTTGCCAGTGCAAGGAAGGTTACTATGCTCAAAGTGATACTACTTGTGTAGGTATAAAAGAAATTTTAAATTATTATTTTTATTTATTTGCTGCAACTTTAATGGTTAGAAATTTTTTATCAATTCTCTTCCTTAAATTGAAGTCTTTTTTTTGCAGATATTGATGAGTGTCGCACTATTAAGGACTTGTGCATAGGTGGTCGTTGTGTAAACACTGATGGTTCATACAAATGCATTTGTCCTCCTGGTTATGAACTTTCCCAAGATGGAAAATCATGTAAAGGTAGTAAAAGTCTTTTGGTAAAATTGGTACAAATAAATTGTATTGAATTTAATTCTGCCTAAAAAAAAACAATTTGATTTTCTACAGGGATAAAATGAAATAATTTCTATTGAAATTTTTTTAAAGATTATTTTAAAATTCAACAATAACAAGAGCAACTTAATTTAGTCGTCAATTTCTATTATTTTTGTCAATATGAGAAGCATATTAAATATTTATCAAAATAGTGTTTTGAATTTCAGAAAGTAAAAATTAAAAAAAAAAATTATTATCTATAATATTTTAATTATTGAATCAGAAATCATCAGAAATATTTTATTTATTACTTCTAAAGTTTGGAAAATAATTTAATCAAATTGCACTGACACATCATTAAAACTTTTCATAATAGATTAATTTCAGATAAAGCCTGATTACCAGCCGTCTGATTATGTCTGGCTTAACATTGATGAGCAAAGGTTTATCATTTCTACCTTTGTAATATTAGGCAGATCTTTGTCTACTAATGTTGGAACAACTATCTGTTTATCTAAATGCCATGTGACATTTTAAGCTTTTTATTAGAGCATTCCACAAGATCTTTATATTTCCTAAAGCAAAAAAATTTCTTCAGCTCATAAGAATCTTTTAACGCCTCCAAGTTGCATTTTGGAACAAAGGCTGCTATTTTACTTTTTAGAAAGAATGGGTTGTACATATCACTTATAAAGAAGCTAGCATTGTTTAATTTTTCTTACTCTTCCAATAATATCTTGTGTATAGCTTTTAATAATCACGTTATAATGTTAGTTATAAATGTTATTATAACATATATATATACATATATATATATATATGTATATATATATATATATATATATATATATATATATATATATATATATATATATATATATATATATATATATATATATATATATATATAATTATAAATGTAAGTATCTTGTGTATAACTTTAGTCATTTGAATTGTTAAAATATATAGTGCATCAGCTAACTTGCTAACTAGCTATATATTTTAGTACATCAGCTAACTTTACCGAATATTCTTGGCTTGACTTGTGGTAATCATCTCTCGCAAAAGTTTCATTATGAAGGGCTTAAGCCAAGTAGGTTAGGGATTATTAGTCTTTTACATTAAAATAAAACCAGAAGCTAGAGTGCTCTAATCAAAGATAGATACATTATTAATACTATTTACCTTATTGATGACCTCCAGCCTATTTTTGTTTAATTTAATAAAAAGTAGTTTTTCTGGACCCTTATTATCTCTAAATATAACTTCTAAGAAATGTGAAAGTTTCATATATATGATGACTACAGAGAACCCAAAAGATGTTGATGTCAATAATTTTAGTAAGTTTTAATTGTCAGGTCAGGTTTATCCTGCTGCTGGTAACATGTAACCCAGTACAAATCTGCTTCATGTCCTGCTTCCTTGTGTGAAACGCCTTTTTAGGCAAAGGTTAGGAGATGCTAACTCCGACATAAAACACCCCATGCCTTGGGGGTCTTGTTTGAGTAAAGGCTAGAGATGGTGTCTTAATAAAAATACTCATCTTGGGTAGGTGCTAAATGCATCCGGCTGCTATCTTGTAGAAGGCCTCCTAGGCAAAGGGGTAAACAGATTCTATCTGTTGACCAGCCTCGCACCCTTTCTTCATCTATTAGGCTGGTGCAAATGTATTTTTAATACATTGTTTCCAGTTTAGGATGTTGAATGCTGGATCTTCTTGACTCGATGCATGGGTTTTGCTTGTGTCTCTGTTTTTATGACTAGGCAACTCATTCTATTATCTCCTAATGAGGGTACAGCTCTAAAGCTCAGTTTTATAGTTCTGAGGCCGGCTGTTAGTCAGGTTTCTCGAACTCTATGGTAGCACTCAGAGAGGCTGATTCCATCAACAGCTGGAAAAAAAAAAAAAACAAAGGTATTAACAGTACCAGGTTGCACATGGATGATGTCCACGTTTTGTACTTTTGTGCATTGCCAAGGCCACATTAGAACCTTTTGTTATGGCTTAGGGTTTATTAATAGTAATGAGGCAATTGCTTGGGATATTAAACAGTGTACTGAGTACTATCTATGTTTCGATTTAAGTTCTTTAACAAATTTAAAAAAGAATAAAGTAACAAAAATTATAAAACACAAAAAACCACTGTCATCACTAAGTTCGCTGAACTTATCATTCACTAATATTTGTGGTCTTTGAAGTAACTTTTCTTCTATTGAGTCTTATCTCTTGCAAAGTTCACCAGACCTACTTGCTCTTTGCGAGACTAATTTGAGTTCAGCTGTCTCATCTTGTAATCTTAGTGTTGATGGTTATCTTCCTTTAATTCGTTAAGACTTCAATAGTCACATGCTTGGCCTGGTTATTTACATTCGTAAGAATTCACCCGTTTGTCGGAAAACTAGGTTTGAATCCACAGACAAATCTTTTATGCGATTTTGTTTAGCACCACTTCACTCTATCACCTTTCTCTTTGTTCTATATCGCTCTCCTTTATCTCAAGACTGCACTCTTCTTGATGCTATTTCTGATCATATTGACCAAGCCCTCTCTCTTTACCCATCAGCCAATATTGTTGTTGTCGGTGAAATGTTCATCACACTGAATGGCTTGGCTCTTGTATAAGTGACTCTGCAGGCATTAAAGCCCAGAACTTTTGTCTTTCTCAATCCCTAACTCAAACAGTCAACTTTCCAACTCGCTTTCCAGACAACCCAAATCATTTATCTTCACTACTCGACTTATGTCTTGTTTCTGATCCTAGTCAGTGCTCAGTTTCTCCACATTCACCCTTAGGTGCCTCTCATCACAGTTTGATCTCTCTAAAACTATTATCTCATTCTTCTTTATTATCAGAATCCCCCTATCATCATACATCTTACAACTACCTTAAAGCTGACTGGGACTCTTTGCATGATTTTCTTCATGATGGCCCTTGGGTAGAAATCTTTTATCTTCCTGCTGACAAATGTGCTTCTTACATAACTTCATGGATTCAGGCTAGCATAGAATCCTTTATTCCCTCTTCTCCATGGTTCTCCTCACATTGTGCTGCTGCAATCGCCAACCAAAACCATTACTTCCATATCTATCAGCAAAATAATTCTCCAGAAAACAGATATCTGTTTATTACTGCTAGGAACCATTGTAAAAAGATTTTGTCTAACACCAAAGCCCATTATACTCAGGTCATGAAATCTTGTATTTCATCACAAAATATAGGCTCTCATGACTTCTGGAGAATCCTTAATAGTATCAATAATAAGGGCAAATCTGTAATTCCACTTCTTTTGTATGGTTCAGACTTTGTCACCTCACCTAAAGACAAAGCTGAATTGTTTGCTAAGAACTTTTCATCAATATCATCTCTTGATTCCACTAGTTGTGTTCTACCTGATATAGCGTTAAACAGGTTGATTCATTGCTCGACATCCGTATCACTCCAGCTTCTGTATCTAAAGTGATTTCCTGCTTAGACTTTTCTACAGCTTGTAGCCCGGACAACATACCTGTTATAGTCTTGCAGAAGTGTTCTCCAGAGCTGTCGTCTATCTTTTCAAAACTATTCAACAAGTGCTTATCTTGTTTTCTAGACTGCTGGAAAGCAGCATCTGTTATCCCTATTTTTAAAAATTCTGGAGAGCGATCTGATTCGTCTAACTACCGTCCCATTAGTCTTCTTCCTATCAAAAGCAAGGTTTTTGAATCTTTAATTAACAAACACTTAATCTTTCATCTTGAATCTAATAACTTACTTTCAGATCATCAATATGGATTTCGATCTTCTCGTTCTACGGCTGATTTACTAACAGTAATAACTGGTAAGTTTTATCGCACATTAGATAAAGGTGGACAGGTTAACGCCATCACTCTTGACATTTCTAAAGCTTTTGATAAAGTTTGGTATGCTGGTCTTCTACATAAACTTTCTTCTTGCGGTATATCTGAAAACATCTTTAAGGTTAGTAAATCTTTCCATTCCAAACGTAGTATAAAAGTTGTCCATGATGGACAGCACTCTTCTTCTTATTCTGTAACCTCAGAGGTTTTTCAAGGTTCAATCCCTATACTCTTTTTAATTTACATCAATGATCTTCCTGATATTCTCACATCCAAGGTGGCATTGTTTGCAGATGATACTACCATTTATTCTTGTTATGATAAGAAGCCAACTCTCTCTGTTTGCTTGGAGGGGCATTTGAGCTTGAAAAGGATCTCACTTCTGCTACAGCATGGAGCTCACAGTGGTTTGTGAACTTTAATTACTCAATTAATTACTTTAATTAAAAACTCAATTTTTTCCAGCCAGTCGTTATCGCAATAATTTAGACCTTCCTATATTTATGAATGGTAATGTACTTGATGAGTCATCTACCCTTTATCTTTTAGGATTAACTCTTACTTCTGATCTTTTTTGGAAACCATATATCAAATCTGTTGCAAATATAGCATCTGCAAAAAAAAAAAAAAAAAAGTTGCATCTTTTTATCGATCTTGACACTTTTTTACTTTGGATTCTATTCTCTATCTCTATAAATCTGAAATCCCACCTTGTATGGAATACTGTTGCAATATCTGGGGCGGATCTTCTAATGATGCCCTTTCTCTTTTAGACAAGATGCAAAAATGCATTGTAAACATAGTTGGACCTGCTCTTGCAGCCAACCTTCAGCCATTATCACATTGTTGTAATGTTGCTTCTCTTTCACTTTTCTACAAACACTATAATGAGCACTGCTCTAAAGAGCTAGCATCTCTTGTGCCATCTACTAAAATTCACTCTTGTATTACTTGTCATTCAATTAAGTCTCATCCTTTTTGTGTTACTGTTCCTAAGTGCTCCAAAAACCATTATTCCCTCAAACATCAGTTCTTTGGAATGCGCTTCCTTCATCTTGCTTTGCTGATTCATATAATTTGCAATCTTTTAAGTCGTCTGTCAATCGTTATTTTGCTCTACAATCTTCATCTTTTCTCTTCCAGTAACTTCCAACACTAATTACTGGTTGCTTGCAGCCTTGTTGGAATGAAGATGTTAAAAAAAAAAAAAGTGTTGCTATTGCTCTGTGGTATTTATTAGTATTGCAACTGGTTGTATCTGAATTAACTGCAAAAACCTGATCTACACAGCCATATTATTTAAAAATGTTAAAAATCTATCTTGCCTGTACTTCTCTCTTTGAGTTTTCCATTATGTGATTGCCTAACATTATGTTTTCTTTGAGTTTTTCATTATGTGACTGCCTAACAGTATGTTTTCTTTGAGTTTTTCATTATGTGATTGCCTAACATTATGTTTTCTTTGAGTTTTTCATTATGTGATTGCCTAACATTATGTTTTCTTTGAGTTTTCCATTATGTTTTCTGAATCTGGAGCATTTGTAGTGCGTAACAGAAATGTTCTTCTTATCATAAATGTTCTTCTGCTCACAAGCTTTATGTGTTTAGTTTCAATCTGTAACATTGATCTTTTGCCTTTAAACTTATCTATGATTTCATTTCTATTAAAATCATCCTGTTTCTCAATGCTTCCCATATTGATCTTCCATTTCTATCAAGAGTTGATATATATGTTAAAATTTTCAAAGCTAACATTACCAGCATTAAGACTAGTTAATATATTGAAAAGATGTTAAAATTTTCAATGTTAATATTACCAGCATTAAGATTAGTCAGTATATTGAAATGACCTCTATGACTTATGTTGTTTCTAATAGCAGATGTTTCTTTAATAAGTTTTTTGTAATAAACTCCAAGAAAATCTTGATGTTTTTATTCTGTTTACATAGTTCGACTCTGAGAAATATAAATAGTTTTGGAAAACCGAATACTAAGATGTAATACCTTTTTTTTCTGAAACCTCAGATTCTGAAAAATAAGATATTACATTTTGGACTTTTTAAACACCTTTTCATGACATCTATTCTGGCTTATTAACTGATTGAAATCTGATCTGAATATGTCAAAAAGCAAATAAAATTATTTTAAAACAAATTTTTTGATTGTGTTTAATATTTGATCAAACGTTTGACACACTAAGCAGATTTTCTGCATTTTGCATTTTTCCTACAAAAATGAAAACTGCTTTTTAGGGGTTCAAATTATAAAAAATAAAAATGAAATGTTGAAATGATGAATATTATATAAAAACAAAACATTAAAAAAAAAGGAAGAAATAAATGACTGAACCAATCTGAATTGAACCTCCTTCTTCCAAACTCTATAAACTTATTTCACCACACAGTTGTTTCTGTCATCACTGACACACTTGTTATTTTAGCAAATCCGCCATTTTCTTGAAAAAAAACCCCTTTTTTTTCTTGCATGACCTAAATTTATAGCTTTTTACTGATTTCAGTTATAAGTAGTAACAGGCCAAAAATAGATGTATTATGTAGAGAGTTTAAATTTAATTTTGAGTTAAATAAATTAAAATTAATGAGAACAAATTTATGTAAATAAGTAATATTAAAAAGTATTAGAACCTTAAATTGTTTCCTATGGTTCCAAAGGTTTCCAAAGGAAATTCTCTCTGGTAGACATCATTGATGGTGTATTTGAGGAGGTAAACCTCTACTTGGATTGGTAGAATAACATTTTTTTTTCTGTCCTTTTTAGTCAAAATTTTATTTATCTGTAAAAGTAAAACTAGTTTATATCAATGAATTGGGAAGTGAATTTGGACATTGAATTAGATAGTAAAATAGAATTGGACAGTAAAATAGAATTAATTAGTAAAAAATTAAAATTAGATTGTAAAATAGAGTTAGGCAGTGCCTAATTGTGTGATATGTTCAATAAAAAAAATGAATGAAGATAGTTTTAGTATATGAAAAATTTCATTTTAAAAAATTATATACTTTAAAAATGATTAATATTAAATAATACTTTTATTTTTAAAATTATTAAGGATAAAGGTTAACAATTTATTATTTACTTCTTAGATTATGATGAGTGCAAGAATATGCCAGACATTTGTTATGGTGGTGAGTGTATTAATGGCCCAGGAAGTTATCGATGTAGTTGTAACTTTGGTTTCAGAGTAACAGAATCAGGAACATCTTGCATTGGTATACTATTTTATTAATTATTTGTAATTATTTTTCAAATACAAATACCACCTCCAAAGCTGTGTTTTCATAACCTTGGAGGTTTTGTTATCATCGAGATGCTAGTGATCACTGTTTATTTATTATACAATATATCATCATAAAGTTGTGCAACAATATAGTATTTAAAATTGTTGAAATAAATTTTAAAATTTAAAATGATAAAAATGTACCTAGTCTTAACAAGTTTTGTTGATGATTTTCAATAGAAACTCGCAGTGACAAGTGTTATGCAAGCTTTAATGGACTTCAATGTTCAAAACCTCTTTTAACTGAACTTACTAGAGTGAAGTGTTGCTGTGGCATGGAAAATACTGGAATTAGGGCTTGGGGAGCAGGTTGCGAATCATGCCCCAAAAGAGGTAATCAAAAATTAACAAACCTTTAGTATTAAGTAAATTAGTTTTAATTTATTGAACTTGTGAAAATGACAGTTTCTATAAAATTTCTTGTGAAAATGACAGTTTTATAAAAGTATGTCATTATTAGTTTTTATGTTATTTATAACTTTTTAAAGAAACAAACTAAATGAATATATGTATACAAATTTAGAAAGGAATAAACAAAATGAATATATGTATACAAATTTAGAAAGAAATAAACTAAATGAATATATGTATACAAATTTAAAAAGAAATAAACTAAATGAATATATGTATACAAATTTAGAAAGGAATAAACTAAATGAATATATGTATACAAATTTAGAAAGGAATGAACTAAATGAATATATGTATACAAATTTAGAAAGAAATAAACTAAATGAATATATGTATACAAATTTAGAAAGAAATAAACTAAATGAATATATGTATACAAATTTAGAAAGGAATAAACTAAATGAATATATGAATACAAATTTAGAAAGGAATAAACTAAATGAATATATGTATACAAGTTTAGAAAGAAATAAACTAAATGAATATATGTATACAAATTTAGAAAGGAATAAACAAAATGAATATATGTATACAAATTTAGAAAGGAATAAACAAAATGAATATATGTATACAAATTTAGAAAGGAATAAACAAAATGAATATATGTATACAAATTTAGAAAGGAATAAACAAAATGAATATATGTATACAAATTTAGAAAGGAATAAACTAAATGAATATATGTATACAAATTTAGAAAGAAAAAAACTAAATGAATATATGTATACAAATTTAGAAAGGAATAAACTAAATAAATATATGTATACAAATTTAGAAAGGAATAAACTAAATGAATATATGTATACAAATTTATTAATATTGTATTATGTTGATTAAGATGTTGATTAAGATGTTGATTAAGATGTTCCCTGCAAAACTGTAAAAAAGTATAAAGATTGTTTAAATAAAATCCTTTTGTTAGATGACATCACATTAAAACCTTGCTAAGTTTACTGCCTGTATGGTAAATGTTTACATTCACATAAAACTAGTGGACCCAGAACTTTGTTCACTTTTTAGACCTTACTAAGTTAAGCACTTCCCAGGTATTGAAAATCTTTTTTTACACTAAAATAAGAATATTATATTATATAAATAGTATAATATTCTTTAACAAAAGATAATATAATAATATTATCTTTTGTTAAAGAATATTATACTATATATATATATATATATATATATATATATATATATATATATATATATATATATATATATATATATATATATATATATATATATATATATATTAGGGTGGTCCAAAATTATAAATTACTGAAATTCATTTCTCCACAAGGCTGCCTTTGTTCCTATTAATATTTGCAATATTGTAGCCAAATTTGAAGCAAATCGGATAATATTTAGGGGTTGCTATAAATTTTGACTTTTTGACCACAATGATAAAAAAATCAAAAAATTTAAGTTTTGACTTTAAATATAATATCGAATTTAAAAATTAATGCCACTAACAATTTAAATCAGGTAAATAGAATGCCTGTAGAGTATCTAATGAATATAGATCATCAATTGATCAATTTTTATTAAAGTATATCAACGTTTCGTAATTTTCGTAATTTTTAAACAAAAAACTGTAATATCAAGAATATTGTGAATATGTTGAAAAATGTATGTTTATTAATCAACGATTTCGTCATCTATCGCCAACATGGCTGCCTTGGATGAAGTAGGGTATAGCTGGTGGTGACGTTGAACAAAACGAAGTAGGAACTGCTTTTGTTCTTCATCCTTTGTAATCGATTCGTTGTACTGTCCAATTAATGCAATTCCACATTCTGCGCTGTCATTAACAACTTTCATTCTTTGGACTCTCTCTGCCAACTTCTGATATGATTCATCGTCCTCCCAATATTTAGGATCTTTTGAAATGAAGTTTCTGGCCTCCTCTCTCCCTGTACTGCTCAACAACTCGAATAAACTATAGGTTCTCATAGTCACGAATGTCTCTAGTCTGTTGAAGTCGGTATTCTTGGAATCTACTCTCTTCAGTGCTAGAGTTGTCTTGGGCAGTTGGAGGTTAACCACCATGGCCCTCTTCACATCCAGATCAACGCGACTATCAAAAAATGCCAGACCTATAAGATGTTCCGAGAAGAACCAATGGTGTCGAGAAAATGCAGTAAAAGCTGCATCGGCGATTGTGCGGTTTGGATACTTTTGGAACTGTTTCAGCATTTGAGCATCATTAAACGGAGCATTTGCAGCCAGTGGAGCTTCGTGCCAAAAACGTCCGTAAATTAATGCCACAAACAATGCAAGCTCTACTAGACCTTTCTTCTCTCGAACAGTCAGAGTGAGCTGATCTTGAAATAGTACCATTTTCAGAGCGTAGATGGCCTTTGATATCCATCGAGCATGATGCATCGCTCCTGGAGCTCGAAATTTTATCTCAGCACCAACAGAGCCTCCCCCTAGAAAGACCAGGCATAACCGAAGTAGTTCAAGATAATCTTCCCTAGGTTGTTTTTCGTCGATGACTCTGGTGTAGAATGCTACCATTTCCTTTTGAAGGATTCCATATCTCCGATGAAGAGCTCATCTTTAGCTGGAGAGAATCTCGCTTGCTGAATATATGGCCACTTCTTCTGAAACCGTTTGAATAAGCCAACCTCAGGTCCCCTGTTCCACCAAAGAGAGCTGTAAAGACATTGCTCAGAATGACCTCCAGAACATGGTGGCGGCAACCAATGTTTACAATATCACGACCAACTGCTTTCTCGATGAGAACACAAGCTCCTTTGTGGATACCTGTGTTGGACGAGGTTGTGTCAAAGACTAAACCCTGAAGTTTGTCTCGAATTTTCCAATCATCCAAGATCTTTAAGCAAGCTGCTGCTTGTTCCTCTCCTGTTCCTCTTCCAATTTTTGGAACTGCTAGCAATTTCTCCAAACCATTTCCAGTTACAATCACTGCAATTCGGTCCACGGTTTCTTTTGAATCGGTGATATCTGGAAGCAGTTTCTCATCCCAGTGTAGAAGCAAAGGAAATTCAATGGAAAAGTTGTCTTTGTCATTCTGAGTCACGTGTTTACGGGTAGACATTCGAGATCTCCTGATTGTACTTTGAGACAGAGTTAAGTCTGCAAGAGGATGTCCCAGTGCCTTAGCCACTGAAGCGACAACGAACATAGCTTTGCGATCTGGAAGGTTAACTCTGTCCAAAGCTCCAGCAACTTCCGGGCTGGAAACAATACTCTTCAGACGCTTTGGCTTTGGTGAAGAAAAAACAGATTGCGATGCAGAAGACAGAATCTCAAAACTTGGGTCGTCATCACTGTCTTGACTGTCTTCTGAGCTGCTGATGTTGGCTGAGACAGGATCGAGATGACCACTGGAGTGTTGTTGTTTTGATAACCTTGCATCATATGCTTGATCTCGAGCTCTCTTCCGGGCTTCCTTTGCCAGTAAGTTCTTATCAATTCCAGCCATGCTGCAGCTGGTAACATCTTCTCGCTGCATTGCAAGAAATTGCCTATCTTCAGCAATGGTTATTGTCTCCATTGCGGTTTTAGTTGCCAAGTCAAAAAGCTCGTAAAGTGTGTCTTTGAACATCTGTTCTTTAATTCTACTGCTTTCCAGGTCTGTAGTTCGATTGTTTTTTAGGAGCAGATAAGAATCGTATAATTTCTGAAGTTTTCTTTCACCAGAATCAATTCTTTGTGTTGGGATTCTTGCCTTATTCCACATAACAATCAGCTCTTGAATCGTATGGTGAATGCTGTCCTTTATTGTGAGATGCTCTTCCAGATGATGAAAGAGGAGACACCAGAGGACATCTCCATTTGTTGCCAATCTTGACGAGGAGAGCTGCTTAGATGCTTTCCCAATGAGCCATACCTCTGCAGAGCTTCTTGTAGTAACTGCCATAAGTGGTGTAATATATATTTTTATTATTTATTAATTACCTGCAGAAGTTTAAGTTGAAATGATTCTTTGTTCTTCAACTACTTAATTTTATATAATTAATATTTAGTACTTTATATTATTAACAGAAATGAAAAAACATTACTGAAAAACATAATTTGTTTTGAAATATTGCAGACATGTGCTTAATACAAGATGGTCACTTAATCATGTGACAATTGATAAAAGATATTAGATATATAAATGAATTTTTATAGCATATTCTTTTTGAAAACTATTTAATTTAATAATAATTTATTTGTAATTCATTATATTAACTATATAATAAATATATATATAAAATATAATACTTAAGTATAAGAATATTTGTTACCAGAAATAAAAAAATAATCCTTATAAAATTTTTAATGAAATACTGCAGACATGTGCTTATTACAAGATGGCCGCCAAATCATGTGACAATAGACAACTAAAAGATATTAGATATATAAATGAATTTATATAGCATCTGCTTTTCAGCAAGCATTAATTTATTTACCACAATGTTGAGATAGATGTTCAATTATGCAAAACTTACACAAAAATTCGTAAAAATCGAGAACCGTCAAAAAAAAGTTGAAATCATAGCGACCACTAAAACTGTACAGATTGGTCCAATTTTTTGTATGGTTATTCCTTAAGCATAGTGGAACAAAGTTAGGCTTGTGGAGAGAATCTAGACACACTTTGAATTTTCACCACACAAATCTGGACCACCCTAATATATATATATATATATATATATATATATATATATATATATATATATATATATATATATATATATATATATATATATATATATATATATATATATATACATATATATATATATATATATATATATATATATATATACCATCATTTTAAAAATAAATAAACAATAGTTTTGAATAATAAATAACAACAAAAAGAAAGAAAAAAAAGTAATGAATGAGGATAAAAAGTTAAAATTAGATTGATTTAAATTATTTATTATATATCTTTTAGTTATTTTTGCTTTTTATTTAGTTAATATTCAATTAAATTTTTCTGTATATATTTAGATAGACCAAATAATTTCTGATGTTTTAACAAACATTTATATTTATAATTGATGCATTTAACAAATAAATTCTGATGTTTTGAGGAGCATTTATATTTATTGATGATGTATTTAATAAATATTTCTCATTTTTCTTTTTTTTCGTTTTTGACATATATAATAATACTATAATACTCATTTATTACTTAAAAAAAAAAGTTGTTATTATTTAATAAATTTTTGTTACATGACAATTGTAAAACAAAAATTAATTTAAAAATCTTTTTTTAGAAAAAAAACTGATTTTAATCAAAATCAAATTCAAAATTAAATATTTAACAATTAGTTTTGTTGCAATAATTAAAATATAATGTTTTCTTATTAAATTTTACATAAACAATACCGAATGACAACTTAAATAATCCGTTATTTAACAGTTTCAGCACAATTGAAAAATTTTTACAAAAAAATGCATACAGCGTAACAAAGAGAAAACCTATTTAAAGTTATATTGCTAATAATATTTTGGCTGGTTTTTTAGTTTTTGTGTTAAAATAAAATGATTTTAATTTTTTTAATTATACTTTTTTTTCTGTATGCAACGTGTTATATTTTTTAAGGATCTTCTCGATATGAAAAACTCTGCATTCATGGACCAGGTTTGGATGATACTGGCAAAGATATTGATGAATGTAATATTAATGCTGGGCTTTCCACAGGAATTTGTGAACATGGAAGTTGTGTTAACCTTTTTAAAGATTATCAATGTATCTGCGAAAAGGGGTTCACAAATATCTCAAATAAAGCATGTCAAGGTTTATCATTTTCTATTAATTTATTTTATATTTAAAATTATGTGGTTTACCTATAGCACTGGCCTTTGTTATAGATAGAGTCGAGTTACTCTTATCTTTTTATTACAATTTTTGTTTACAAAATATATTTCATTTAAACAAAGAATAGTAATGATTGAAATAAACCTAATTTAACCCTTTTCAGCCCTACATATTTTGTATTGGTAAAAAAATCTAGATTTACATGAATTATGCATAAAAATATGTAGAATATATACTGCTTAGGATATATTATTTAGCAATAAATTTTTATAAATAAATGTTAAAGTAAAAAAATAACAAAACTTGAAACTCAAGTTATAAATACATACTGACAAAGCTGAAAAAAGCTGATGGTTCCACTCGGTCTGAAAAGTATTTAAACAGTGCTTAGAGTTATATTTAGTTCAAAAGATTTTGATTTATTTTAAGTATTAAAAATAAATGGACTGTAATGTTAAAATAATGTTAAAATGGACTGTAATGGAACAAACTCTAATGTTCGAAAACAAAAATGTAATTACATTAAAAATAAAAATTTATTTAAGTTTAATTAGTTTTAAAAAATATTTCATGACAGCTGCATACCTTGAAATAAACATAAAAAGAATAAATGATGTTTATTGTTTTAAAATTATATTAAATACTTTTAATTGAAGTGTTTTCAAAAAAACACTGATTTCATAATAATAACCCAAATTGATTTAAAATACTTCATTAATATTCATGTTTTTAAATACTTTATTAATTTTTATGTTTTCAAATACTTTATTAATATAAGGCTTTAAGGTTTTCTTAAGTTAACACATTGACATAGACTTAACGGACAGGCACAATATTTATTTTTTATATTATATATAACAGCTTCTATATTTGAATGGAAGAAGTTATTTTGACTTCATCCATTCATGTAAATATCATCCGAGCATGAAAATAGCGCAGTTAAAATAAAATTCTGCAGCCCAAATTTTGATAACTTTCAAATAATTCATCAAAATCAGTTCCTTGTATTTTTTAGTTCTATTGTTCTTTAGAAAATTGAAAACAACATGCATGAATGCAACTCTGATGCAAAACTCTGATGCAAACATCTGTTTTATATGTGGTCCATTAAACAAACAATGAAATAATTTGGGATCTGATAGTTTAAGAAACATCGATCTGACCTTTTTAATGTTCCTCCTCTGTGATTCAGTGTCTTAACATATTGTTTGATCTAGCCCTGTTTTATTTAGAGTAGACAGTTTTCAGACAGACAGAATTTTCCACAGGTACTTAAGCGACATTCTTTACTTTGAAGGGCCCTATTAACATAGTCTTTTTTTAAATTTACACTCCAATATCCAAATGGTTTTGAAGAATGTGCCTGACTGCTATTTAAAGATGTGTCCAACTGGTATTGAAGAATGTGTCTAACTGTTATGGAAGAATGATTTCTATTGTTAAGTAGTACAGCTTTTAAACTCTTTTTAGAGTTGTCAATAAATATTTGCCATTAGTTAGGTTGATATGAGATACCGATTGTGGTAAGAAAAATGCTGTAGTGGCCACATAAGCAAGAAGTTCTGAGTTATATCCCCACCACGCCCCTGATAGTACTGTACTCAACTTGTTTCTCTTCACAGTAGCCTTGTTAGTCAAGGCTTGTGTTTTGGAGTTGTAGAGTTAATAGAGGGTTGTAACCACAGTTAAAAGTAGCCTCCCTGACTATAGTGGCCTTCATGGCCTCAGGAAGTAAAATTAAAATTTAAAAAAGAAATGATAAGAATATTCCAATCACATATAACAGAAGCAAAGAAAATTTGTGGCTGTAGAATACTGAACATAGGATGTATATCTCATTTGATACTTGTTAATTTTTACAGTTAGTTCCAATAGATTCTATTCTTTAAATTAGTTCTGAGCTTTCAAAAGATTTAAATCTAACTAGATTATCAAGATCAATCAACTAGATTATCAAGATCAATCAACAAAATTATCAAGATCAATCAACTAGATTATCAAGCTCAATTAACTAGATTATAATTATATTAGATTATATTAGATTCATTAGATTATTATAACTAGATAAATTTTTACAACTTAATTAAGGATTTATCTTGGTCCCCAATAAAATCCTAAATTGTTTATCATAAGCTTGGTAATACTTTGTATCCCTTAAAATTGAAAACTTCACAAGCCCAATGTGACATTCACAAACGTAGCAAAAAAAATAATTGTGCTGATAATTTAGACATAGTATGAAAATTATGCAATTTCTAGAAAATTATGCAAAGTCCAGAAAGTTATGCAATGTTTTGGAAATTATACAATGTCTAGAAGCCATTATAACTAGTAATTTAATAGGTTTTCAGTTTCCCTAAAATAAGATAAAACCACAAAATAATCATAACGAAGAAAAAAAATTTGTTCATTCAACCAAAGTAAAAAATTTATTCATTCAATCGTTCAAATTTTATTTACTCAGCCAAACTAAACCCCTAAAGCAATGTAAAAATAAATGTTACTATTAAAATTGCCGCTGCAAAATTATTAAAAAAAAAAACATTAAATAATGGATGGGATCAAATTTTTTGTTGCCTAGTGTTATCAGTGAATAGTATGTTTTTGTTTTTTTTATTTAAAAATTTTTTTTATTAAAAATTTAAAAAATTTTTTTTATTTAAAAAAAAAATTCACATTTTTAGGTTTAGAAGTTTTCAAAAAAATACAAGAATTAAAATTAAACAGAAATTCATTAAGTTAGGTATAAATAGAAGTTTAATAAAAGCCTGGTTTAGATTGAGGTTGTTATAAAATCCCAGATCAAATTGATAATTTAATAAAAGTCCTGATTAACTTTCAGATTTAACAAAATTTAATTTAGAAGTTTAATAATAATTTTAATTGAATTTAAGATTTTTTGAAAATTTTAAAGTGTTCTGTTCGAAGATTTAAAAAAAAAATGTTTAAAATTAACAAAAAAAGATTTAGACAACCATCATGCATCTAGAGCCTACTACTCATATATCTACAGTCTATTACTATATATCCAATAAAAAATATGTTAATTATCTATCCTATATATCTTCAGTCTACTACTATATATCCATTAAACAATTTCATTCATCCATCCTATATATCTTCAGTCTACTACTATATATCTATTAAATAAAATGTTATTCATTGATCCTTTATATCTTTAGTCTACTGCTATATATCTATTAAACAATATGTTATTCATTCATCCTATATATCCATCCACCTAATGTATTTCATAAATAAATTTAAATGTATTTCATAAATAAAAATAAATTTATGCGAATACAAATAAATTTATTTAAAAAAAATAATACAATTTTTTTTTGACATGAAGAATTATTTACTAAGGACAAGGCAAAAAACTATTAAACTTTTTATACATTATTTTTCTTTTAATAAATTTACTTTTTATAGATAATAAATAGTAAGATAATATAAAGAAGTTAAGATCTGTTAGTTAGTATTTGCCTCAACCTTAAATAATTTACGTCAATTATGATCATGCATGCTAATTTTTGTAGATATTGATGAATGTTTGGAAGCAGGAGTGTGTGAAGGTGGAAAATGTACAAACACATTGGGTAGTTTTATATGTGAATGTCCTAAAGGATATCAGTTTATAAAAGAATCAAGAATATGCAAAGATGAAGATGAATGCTTGACAAACCCATGTGTTGGTGGTAAATGCATAAACACAGGAGGATCTTTTTATTGTGAGTGTCCTCCAGGTAGCTTCTATGACGAGAAGAGAAAGTTCTGTAAAGGTAAAATAATTATTGTTCTATTTTATATTAAAGCATTTAATAAACGTATTTACTATTATTTTAATTTTAAAACTTTAATTTAAATACTAGAATATCTGTTCATTTAACTTTTACTAAAGATAAATAATTTTTAAAGTGATTTTAAGGCATCTTTTAATGTTAAGATAATTAAAGAAGAGATAATTACGGTAAACATAATTTAAACAATGTAATTTTTTTTTATTAAAAAACATATATTTTAAAAAGTATATTATATTTTTGTATTCATCAAGCATAATTATAACAATATTTTTCAAATTTATTAGTTTATTGCTGAATAAATAAAAAAATCTATTTATAGTTACTATAATTCTTATAATACAAAACTATAAATGAAATAAATTAAGTATGGGCTGATGACTCATTATGTTTCATATATATTTTATATTATTATATTTTATATTTTTGTTTCATCATCATCTCTAAAGCTGACTGGGGTTCTTATTGTTTTTTCTTTGTTATTGTCTTTGGGCTGTTGTCTTTTCTCTCTCCTCTGATAAATGTGCATGCTACATAACCTCCTGGATCAAGATTGAAATAGAAGCTTTTATTCCTTCTTGTCAGTTCTAAGTCAAGCCTCATTCTACTCCATGATTTTCACCTTCTTGTGCAGCTGCTATATCTAATTGTAATAATTTTTTTCTTCCATTTTTTTCAAAAGAACAACTCTCTTAAGAAAAAAAAGTTATTATTACAAGAAATCAATGTAAAAAGGTGTTATATTATGCTATACTCCATTATTCACAGTTTACCAAATTTTGTAACTTATCCCAGACTTTTTGAAAATCTTTAACAGCATCATTAACAAAGATAGGACATATCGTCATTAACAAAGATAATCAATTCTCTAATTCATGGGACTGATCTCATTACCTTTCTCCCAAAGATAAAGCTAAACTATTAGCAAAATAATATAGCTAAACTATTAGCAAAATAATATAGCTAAACTATTAGCAAAATAATATAAACTATTTGTAAAGAACTTCTCTTCTGATTGGACTCTTGAATCTAATGACTCTTTCTCTCATTCCAGTTAAACAGTTTAATCCATTGTTAGACATTAAAATCACTCCAGATTCATTTGCTGAAGTCATATCTCATCTAAATTCCTCCACTGCTTGTGGTCCAAACAACATTCCTGTCAAAGTAAAACAACATTTCTGTTCATGTTCATGTCACAATTTATGTCACAGTCTTACAAAATTGTTCTGCAGAACTCTCTTTATTTCTCTCTAAATTATTTATTAGGTACTTAAATGAATCTTGTTTTCTTGCCTACTGGAAAATGGCATCTGTGGTTCTAAAAACTCTGGAGAACATTTTGGCTCCTCTAACTATCGTACTATCAGTCTTCTTTCTGTTATTAGCAAGGTCTTTAAGTCTTTAATTAACAAATTTCTCACATCTCATCTTGAGTCAAATAAATTACTGTCAGACAATCAATACAGTTTTTGATCTTTCTCTACGGCTGACTTTCTAAGTGCTGTAACTAAAAGATTTTATTGTGCATTAGATAGAGACAGCAAGACTAGGGTTGTTGCTCTTAACATATCTAAAACTTTCGATAAAGTTTGGCATTCTGATCTTATCCATAAGCTTGCTTCATGTGGTGTATCTGGAAAAGTTTTTGAGAATAAAAAATCATTTCTTTCTAACCACTTTATCAAAGTCATCCTGAAAGACCAACATTTTTATTTATTTCCAGTAACTTCTGGGGTACTCCGAGATTCTATTCTTGGTCCTGTTTTGTTTCTTATCTACATCAATGATCTTTCTAACAATCTTACATCTAAAGTGGCTCTATTTGCTGATGACTCAATTTTTTACTCCTGTCTTGACAAAGTCTTTTCACTTAGAACAGACAGCAGATCTTGAATCTGATCTCACTTCTGTAACAGATTAGAGCTTGCAGTGGCTTGTGAGTTTTAATTTCAAATAAAACTATTTACTGCAAACAACTATCGAAATAATGTCAACATTCCTAATTGTTTCATAGTTACATGTTATCTATGTTAACTAATTCCTATTGTTAACATAGTTGGACCTGCTCTATCTGCCAAGCTTAAGTTTTTCTCCCACCGTTGTAAAGTTGCGTCTTTTTCTCTTTTCTAAAAATAATATCATGGTTGCTGCCCAAAGGAGCTATCACCTTTAGTTCCATCAATCAAAACTCATTCTTGCATGACTCGCCATTCAGCAATATCATCTATTTACTGTATCTGTTCCAGTATGCTTTAAAAACTTTAATTTGTTTAGTTTTTTCCTTGCACTTTATCTTTTATTGGGCCAGGAATGCTTACTTTTATTACTTCTGATAATATGTCTGATAATATATCTGGTAATATATCTTACCATTCAATCAAATTATTATGAGTTTTCCAGAACTTAAAAATTTATTCATTGTACAAATGAGACATGTGTCTTACAATACAATACTTTGTACAGTACAATACTTTGTTATTTATTTAGTAATAAATACACCTGTAGCTATTATAACATTTTCACGCTAATCTCTGGGGATATTTTAATAATTTGTTCCTACTCTATTCTTATGTAAATATTCAATTATCTAATAATTTGCATTTCTCTTAAGATATTACTACTATAGTACTATAAAAGCAAAAAAAAGTTTCGACATTTTTTATTTTGTTTCGACATCTTTACTGATTATTACTACATTAGTGAATAGTGTGTTATGCCCGCATACCCCTGTTTGTGGAATCAAATTGTATATTTAGATAACCGCGAAGGAAACTGCTATACATACAATGAAATAGAGAGAAAATGTGAAAAAAAAATTGCTAGTTTTCTTTCAAAATCTGAATGTTGCAATGGACTAGGTTCTGCATGGGGTAGTGATTGTGAAAAATGTGACTCAGGTAAGTTACTTTTATCATTAGATGTTTTAACAAAATTAAACTATATTATTTTTAACTTTTCTTTGTGCTTTTGTTTTTAGACTCTAGTTATGGTTGCAAGAAGGGCTACAAACGTGTTGGCGCTCAATGTATAGGTAATACTCAGTTTACTTTTTTATTTAAAATAATATTTTTTTAGTTATAAAATTAAGCCTAAAAAATTTGTTGTGTTTGAAATAAATACAAAATAATGTCTATATCTCTATATTTCAAATTTTGTATATATTTAAAAAAAATGTTATGAAAATTAAAAAGCATTGTCTAGATATAAACGAATGCAAATTTTCAAGTGCTTGTCAAAATGGGCGATGTATAAATACTGATGGAAGTTTTCAATGCATTTGTCCAACAGGTTACAAACTTGAAGGAAACTCATGTGAAGGTATTTTTTGTGATAATACTTTTTTTTTAATGTTTTAATAAAAACATGATTGCATAGTCATTATTAAAATACATAGTTGTTAATACTTTTGATTTAAAAAAACTCATTAATATTTTTGCTAAGTCATTATTTAAAGTGTTTCTTGTTAATAATTTTGATTTAACTTTCAGATATTAGAACTGGTATTTGTTATCGTAACATTTTAAATAATCAGTGTGGGATGGCATTAGGAGACCTAAAATTTAAGAAATCTAACTGTTGTTGCTCTGCTTTTGCACGTGCTTGGGGAAATCCTTGTGAAGTCTGTCCAATCAAAAATACATGTAAAAATAAAATTTTATCAATAATATATATATATATATATATATATATATATATATATATATATATATATATATATATATATATATATATATATATATATATATATATATATAAATATATATATATATATATATATATATATATATATATATATATATATATATATATATATATATATATATATATATATATATATGTATATGTGTATATATATGCATATTTGTTTAGTGGAGCACAAAGAACTTTGTCCAAGTGGTGAAGGTTTTAATGAAGTTGGAGAAGACTTGAATGAGTGCAGCATTCCTGACATTTGTCAAAATGGTAAATGCATTAATAACCATGGTTCATATCGATGCTTATGTAACTCAGGATTTGATGTTGATGCTACTGGATCGATTTGTGTTGATGTAAATGAATGTGTGATTTCTAAAACCATATGTGGACCTGGAAAATGTGTTAATACAATTGGATCATTTCGATGCAGTTGTTATGAAGGTTATCGAAATGACCTAATGTTAGAAAAATGCATAGGTTTGGCTTTATTTTTTAAAGGCTTTTTTTTATTTGTTTAATATGATGAACCAAGGCCTTCTAGAATAGAATAATTTAGAAGACTTTGGTTAAACTTTTGATAAAAAATGTAATGTAACAAAAAAATGCCAAATGTGAAATCATTGTGTAATTATCTGGAGTAATCTGACATCAGAAGCTGTAAATGTTGATAACATTTGTATTTTTAAAAATAAAGTAAAATGAATGAAACCTTGAATGTTTTAATTATGAACTATATTTGTTTCATATGTACTTTGTTATCTTATTTATTATATTATCAGTATCCATTTATTAGACTCATATGTCCTTTAGATTATGTAATTTTTGAACTTGTTCTAATAAATCTTGATATATATATATATATATATATATATATATATATATATATATATATATATATATATATATATATATATATATACATATATATAAATATATACATATATATATACATATATACATATATGTATATATATATGTATGTAAATATATACATATATATATATATATATATATATATATATACATATATATATATATATATATATATATATATACATATATATATATATATATATATATATATATATATATATATATATATATATATATATATATATATATATATATATATATATATATATATATATAAATATATATATATATATATATATATGTGTGTGTGTGTGTGTATATATATATTTATATATGTTTATATATATATATATATATATTTATTTATATGTTTATATATATATATATATATATATATATATATGTTTATATATAATTCATTTCTTTATACTATGTCAGATTATGTCCTAATCTCAATATTTTAACATTTTGTTCCTCATTGGTAAAGTTATATTTTACAGTGTTATTGTTTTCTGGCAAGAGTTGTTTGATGAGTGTTTTATTTTTTTTTAACTAATAAAGTATTTTTTAGAAGACCATGCAACCTACGACCACTAAACTTATTATATGGATAAGTGTTAATCTTATTTGATTTTTCAGAGACGTTATTAACTGATGGTGTTTTTAACTAATGATGTTTTTATAAATGCTGTTGCTTAAAAACTATTTTCTTATCAATTGCAAGTAAATTTTTTCAATAAAATAAATTCTGTTCTTATTCTTTTGTTTACATGATGAGAACAGAGTTAATCAAAAACAAATGTTTGATTGTGATTAATTATGTTTTCTTTGTTAATTCTTTACAAACTTTTAGTTACAATTACGATTCTAAACATGAAAACGCTTTACTACATCAATACTTGTAAAAAATTTTACAGTAATATTTTTTGCAATCATCAATGTAAAAAATATGACTGTAAATTCAACTTCACAATTATAATAGTTATTTTTTTTGCGAGGACTAATTATTTTGTTATATAATAGTTTGAGCTAACAAATTAAAAAAAAGAAAAGCAGAAAAATAAAGTGAACTTTGGATCTTTATGGAAACAAACAAAGAAACCAACTGCTGCATTGCTTTTTTTCAATTACTGAAAGTGTAAACTTTCTGGTGATTAAAATTTACATTATCTATACAGTTCAAATCAACACAATTGTAAACCACATGGTTTACAATTGTATTGCTTTTTTTTTTCATTATGCATGTGTCCAATTAATTCAAAGTAAACAATAATCTAAAGAATGAGCTAATGGTAAAATAGCAAACTTTAAAATTCTCACAAATAATTTTAATTTTTGAATTTTATAGCAAGTTTAGTTAATCATCAGCTAATGGTTTTATTTTTTTTATTTCACATTATGGTTTTATTATTTTTTTGGTTGTAATACAGATATAATTTCGTGACATAGTAATTTAGTTACATAGTATTTAAGTCATAGTAAGGTTAGATTTTATCTTTGAATGCTGAACCTAATTCCAGAGGGAATTAAGTTTTGGCAAAAAGGAGTTGATTCAAAACAGGTTATCTAATTTATTATATTTAAAAAATACAATTTTCATATTTGTGTTTTTAACTTTTAAATTTTTTAGATATCAATGAATGCTTAGAAGGAAACCCATCTCCATGTCAAAGTGGAAAGTGTATAAATACACCAGGATCATTTAAATGTGAATGTCCATCAGGTTTGAGAACATCTGAAACATCTAGTTCTTGCGAAGGTATTTTTGTGTTCTCAGGAGCCAGTATTTAAGTGTTTTTTTTTTTTTTTTATCAATGTATATGTAATACATTTGTTTGGTATAAGAAACAATTTTTTTAGAAATTTAATTTTGAAACTAATATCATTAATTATTGTATTATTTATATTTTTGAAGTGGTTGCACTGAAAATGAAAATAACTTTAATACATTTTCACATAATAATAAATCTGAACTTTAGATATAAATGAATGTGAGCAACCAGGTGTTTGTCAAAATGGTATTTGCCAAAACTTCATAGGTGGTTACCATTGCAGTTGTTTAACAGGTTTTGTTTCAAGTTCTGATATGCTGCAATGCCACGGTATGTGGATTCTATTTTTTTTTTAATTTAGTAGAGATCTGTTACTAAAATAACAATATAAAACTGTGTATATAAATAACCATGTTTTAAAATAACTGTGTATACAAATAACCATGCTTTGATTTATTATATATATTATGTATACAAATAACCATGTCTTGATATATGTATATATATATATATATATATATATATATATATATATATATATATATATATATATATATATATACATATATATGTATATATATATATATATATATATTTGTATATATAAAGAAAAGCCTCTTAATTTGATGACCTCTAGCAATCAGTTATGCATATTATCAATTAGTTTTTTAATTTTTCCGCTGTAGAGCTCCATTTAGTATTCCCTCAACAGGTGTATCCCTTCTGCAGAGATCTTTAAAATTTTACAAATCATTCTCTACTCATCACTATTCTCACATCATTCTCATTCACTATTCAGAAAGCATATGCATTTTGATCTGCAAGAATATGAATTTCTATATATGGGAAACGGGGCACGGATCCCTCTTTTTTGTAGCAGAACACTGTGATTGATTTTTTACTACCTTCAAGACTAGCTGGAACTCTGAATTTTTTGGTATTTCTTAAGCGCTGATAAACATGCATATTAAAATTGTTTCTTGGGACCAAGACACCAGAAGAGGGCTGGGTAATGTGTCTCACTTTTTTTTAGTGAATCTTGCAATAGATTTTTCACTACTTTTCAGACAAACTGAAGTTCTGAAAATGTCGGCATTTGTATAGTGCTGATAAACATGTGTTAAAATTGTTTTCAGGGCAGACTACCAGAGGGTCCATGGGGCCAGGGCACCAGGGGCAATGCCCCTCTAAGTATTTTTATGTGCATTTAAAGCTAATAGTATCTTTAGATTCTGGGTTAAATTAATGATAGCTCCTAATTCCAGGAATTGTTCTACATTTTTTAAATTTTTGAATGATGATGGCAGATTGTTAAAATTCCAGACCTCTAAATTAATTATTCTCTGACATCTTTACTATAGCCATCAAATCTCTTTAAATCAGTAATTCTATAATAACTTAGTTTATAACAGTTTTTATTTGACAGTTTTCCAAAATCACACAAATCCATTCTTACTGTAAAACTAACTTTTAAGTTGCATTTCAGATTAAATTAAAAACAGTGATTGATTTCTTTTAGCTTTTTTTGAACGAGAAAGATGATTTTTTGCCTCTTATGCCTCAAACCCAAGGTTGTTTAATTGTAATAAATTTGTTAATATTAAAAATGTTAACGATGAATTTAATAGGTAATAAATTTCTATTATACTAGTATAATGGCAGTATGTTTTTTTGCTTCTGTTTATAATTCTTTTTTAATATAACAACTTAATGTTAACATTTTAGAATTAAAAAAGTTAAAATAATAATTTTAAAAAGTGATGATTTTCTTTTATATTGATGTTTTCATATACTTGCAGATTAAAATGCTTACGTCTTCTAAAAGATCAAATTTTTTTTGATATCAGTATGATCATATGAGTTTCTTTGGCATTAAAAACAGATATATAAAAAATTGCCTAAATTTATTTAAATTAATAAATACTGGTACTTAATAATAATTTTTTATATTTCGGATCATTTTATTGGATTTGTCATCCCCAAAAACAGCCAGGTACAAATTTTTAAGTAAAAAGATAAAATATTTTTAAAGTTATGTGACTTGAAATATATAAATAAACATTGCGTTTCTGAGGGGACAAGAGGAGACTGGCCAATATTGACTAAAAGTAATATTGTCATATTTCAGGATCTTCTTGGAGCCAAAAGCTAAAATTTTCAAGGAATTCTTATTTTACTATGTACTCTCAACTGTTTAAAAATCAGATATTGGATGACAATTTTGAAAATTTCTGACTCAATTGTCATGGAATTACCCAATAGACTAATTTGAATATACAATTCTAAAATTTAAATAGAAATTATTTTTGTCAGCTTACTTTCTGATGGTAAAATAAACAAACTCTAATAAACAAAAAATAATAAAAAATTCAAGAACTAAACAAAAAAAAAACATTGTGCTTTTAACATGGCTTTGAAATATCACAATATTGGTTGTCCTGAATGTTGATTGTAAAATTTTGTTTTATTTTTTCAAGACCATATATTGACTTTAATTAGAGAATAACGAAGACACCTTTACATCACATAACATAAGTGTTTACATTACATAAGTGTGCTACAGAGTAGCCCATAGTGAAAGATATCATACTTTCATGTTGATACATAACAGTTGATTTTAATACATTTCATAAATGTTTTTCCAATTTTTTTACAGTTTGATCTTTAGTGCAAATAAATGTGAATAAATGATATTCTGCTATATACATTCATATACTTGTTTTTACTGTCATATTTATTTAGCAGTAATTGTATATAATATTTTATATAATATTTTCATCTTGCTTTTTCAGAAATTTCTTGTCTATAAAAACAGTAGAAAGTCAATTTAAAAAACTAAACGAGAAAAAAAAAAATTCTATAGCCCATAGTTTCCATCATTTCTGGATATAGGGTTTCAAAAAATTGATAGTACTTGCATCTCTGATCAAAATCATAAAAATAAAATCCTTGTAATAAAATTATTTAAAGTTATTCAGTTTATAATATTTATAATCTCTTATTCACAATTCGATATATTATTTTTTTTTAAATATGTTGATTTTTTCAAATTATAATAACAGATGTAGACGAGTGCAGCAATAATAATGGTGGGTGTGAGTACTTATGTTCCAATACTCCTGGAAGTTTTCACTGTGGTTGTCAACCTGGATTTGAATTACTTAGTGATAAAAAAACGTGTGCTGGTAATTTATATTTTTTAAGAATTAAAAATTTAAAATACACGATAATATTCAAACATTAGTTTAATACAAAACACTGTACAAATTGTAAATCAAAATTTCAGATATAAATGAGTGTGAACGTGGTACACCATGCGGAGAAGTTAATACCTGCACCAATATTGTTGGTGGACATGTGTGCACCTGCATTTCAGGTTACCGAGCATCTACAGATGGAAAAAGCTGCATGGATATAGATGAATGTACAGAAATTGAAAACATTTGTCAAAATGGGAATTGCTTTAATATAATGGGGTCCTTTTTGTGCAACTGTAAAGACGGATATAAGTTAGATATAAATGCTATGAGTTGCATTGGTAGGATTATAAATTTGCTTGTTTTTGTTTTATCCTTTTATTTTATCGTTTATTTAGTTTTGAATCTGGTTTTCAAAGTAAAAAAAAAATCATTTACTAAGTTTGCTAAAAGTTTTATGATTGCACAAAATAACTGCTACAAAACACTTAACATTTTCAATTGCAGACATTGATGAGTGCTTATTGCGTGAAAATGGTGGCTGTCATTTGGATGCAGGCTGTATTAATAGTGTTGGTTCCTATAGTTGTCGCTGTAAAACAGGGTAGGAAATGATTTTTTTAATCTGAATTATTTTTTATTATTTTTAATCTGAATTATTTTTTATTATTTTAATATGACATTGAGTTTTTTTATTTTATTTTAAATGAAATACCTTTCAGTTATGACGGAGATGGATTCAATTGTACAGACAAAAATGAATGTGATTTGGATATTGCCAGTTGTGCTCAAGATGCCAAATGTGTAAACACTATTGGTAGTTTTTCATGTGAATGTAAAGAGGGGTTTAAAGGAGACGGTGAAGTGTGCCTAGGTAAAATTTATTTTAGGAGGTGGTACAAATAATTGTTGAAGTAAAAAAATAATGGCTGGCAAAAAAAAATTATAAAAAACAAGGGAAAGTTTGAAATTATACTCATTGGTGTTTTAAAGAAAAAAATAAGTAATCAAGATAACTTTTTTATGTTTCTGTTGGATAATTGAGGCAAATTAAAAGAAAAATATTATAACAATCAGAGGTTTGCATTTTAATTTTTGATTTAGATGTTAATGAGTGTGAAGGAAACAAATCTTTATGCAATCCTGGTAAATGTATAAACACAATAGGTGCCTATAGATGTGAGTGTAGTGTTGGGTACCAACCTACTGAAGATAAGAGGCATTGTGAAGGTATATTAAATATAACCAATTGAATAAAGAAAAAATATTTTAATTATCTAAGTATTCTAATTAAACTTTATTATTAAATTATACACTCTACTGCACCTGTTTCTTAAAAATCAATTTATATCTAATAAATGTTCAATCATCGTATCATTTATAATCATTGCATTTAATTTTCCATTATCAAACAGTACTAAATATTTGTGAAATATTTCCTATGTATTCCATATTCCTAAATATTTGTGTCAATAAATGTGCACTTTAAAAATTATTTAAAAATGTGCTTTTAAAAAATAGATAAATAAATAAAATAAAATTAAAAAAATATATATAAGTTAAAAAAAGAAACTCAATTTATATTTAAATGTAGTAGGATAATCATTTAAGTTGTTGTTTTTTTGGTATTTTTAAAGTAAAAAAAAAGTTTAATATGCTTTTATTATTAATTTTTTAAGTTATAACATTACAATAATATTTTATTGAAAGGTTTTTCACTTCTAAAGTCTTTTTAGCTTACCAACCATATATATATATATATATATATATATATATATATATATATATATATATATATATATATATATATATATATATATATATATATATATATATATATATATATATATATATATATATATATATATATATATATATAATATATATATATATATATATATATATATATATAAATATATATATATATATATATATATATATATATATATATATATTTGTATATATATATATATATATATATATATATATATATATATATATATATATAAATATATATATATATATAAATATAAATATATATATACATATAAATATATATATACATATAAATATATATATACATATAAATATATATATATATATATATATATATATATATATATATATATATATATATATATATATATATATATATATATATATATATATATATATATATATATATATATATATATATATTAGGGTGGGTCATTATGATGTAAGTGTTAGGTTGGTGCTGTAAATCTAAAATGTTGCATTATAGTCTACTAATGAAAATGTTGCATTATAGTCTACTAATCTTTTTGAAATAAAATGGAAGCGTGTCTTGGATCCGCAACTTTGGAATTAAAATTTCAGTATAATCGTATAATGTAAATACACATGGTTTAATGCTATATTCCATTACTCTACAACTTGTTACAATAAATATAAAAATACGAGCAGTTGTTGAAGGAGAAATTGTCAGAGTGTAGTAGGCAACATATAACAGCAAATTGTTTCATTTATTTGCTATTTGTTATGGCTCAAAAAGTCACATTAAGAGCCAATTTTGGGTAATTCTGCTCGAGATTTGTGACACTGCAAAATCATTCCATGTTGTGATTTGTGCCCGAAAACTTTCATATTGTTGTCTTTAATAGTTTGTTCAACTGTGAATGACATGGAATACCACTCAAGACATCAACACTGAACTGGAAATGTTCAAGTTCATCATTCGAAACAGTTGATAAAAGTGGTGGTAGTGTTGTAATAGCAACAGACCAGTTAATCATCTTTAAGAATGACGAAGCTTCTGGATCAAGCTTCATGCTTGATTTATCAAAGACACGTATCTTGCTACTTTGTGATGTTGCTCAAGCTTCAATTATTTTATGACACGAAAACTGACGAATTGATAAATTTTTATCTGTAACTCCTCCCAGATGAATGTTCTCAGAATTAGCAAAATAACAGTTATTTTTAAAAATTGGTTCAAGAATTTTCCAGTCTTCCTTCCCTAGTTCATAGCACTGCTTCATAAGATAGAAAAAATTTCTTGCTTCATCAAGGCAGGAAGAATGTTGCTATATGTTGAACCACGATGGAGCATAAACATTTACGATGAATCTTGTAATTCTATGCAATGGTTTTGAAGGATTTTCTTTAGACATATACAAACGTATATGATTCGCCTTTGTTAACCACCTTGCATGATTTATATTTCCTGGCATAGCAGTCTGGAGGAACAATATTTGATCAGAAGCAGTGTATCCCTGCTGAACAGCTAAGCAAGCTTTTAGAGGGTATATCTGGTCAGAGCTTAAATCTTTCTTAACATCAACGCTTACATCCTTAACTTTGCCAGGTATATGCTTGAAGTGCACGATAACTAAATCTTTTGGATCAAAATGTAGTTCAATCTCTATTTTACCTGTTGAAGTAGCTGGACCTGTTGAACGTCCACCATCCAGAACGGAGAAATATTTTCTAAAATGTAGTTCATTTGCATGTAACAAGCAGACCAACCATTGTAATGTTCTCCCAAGACTTTCTTCTAATTTTCTAATTACTCCATTGTGTTGACCTGTGTTATTCACAGTACCATCACAAATAACTGCTGCTAAAGTGTCTGATGATTTGATTTTTTTGATGCTGATTAATATCTCTTGTGCAAATCAACAGCTTTACTACTTTGTGGCATGGCATGATCGATATATTTGTTTTGGGGAAATGACACTATTGCATAATGTTTTTCTTTGAAATTTCGTCAGGCGCCACATGTTTTAACAGAAGTGATATCCTGCTTTCCATCAAATCCAATGCAAAGTACTTTTTGGAATTCAGTAGCATGCTTTATAACTTCCTTTTTCCCTGACATATTTCTCTTACGACAAAGTTTTGCTGGATCAATTCTCTGGTGTTATAAGATCTAAATCTTTTAGTATGGCATTTGCAAGCATAAATGGCAAGCATCCCTGTTACTGATTTTACACCTATCCATGGCCTTACACAACTCAGGATATTGTTTAGTGTTGTAAACCTTAATCTCTTCATCACTTGTCATCTCATTATCACTTGACTTCTCATCATCTGACATCTCTATTGGCAAAAATTCCTCATCTGTCTTTGACTGTTCATAATCACTTAAATATGTTTCATTTTGATCAATTTCTTTATTAAACTTCAATTTCTTATTTCTAATCAGTAAATTTCATGTTTTACTTCCTCTTTTTCTCTCTTCTGCAGCTTAATTGTTTCTTCTTTGTCTACTTTTCCTATTACCATCTTCCGTACTGTTTTTTGATCTATCCAGAATTCCCATTCAAGTATTGAAATTTTATTTGGCAGTAGACATGAACAAGCTGACCTTTCTCGAACACCATTATCAAAACACTTACACAGACAAATATCGAATAGTTGGTCTAACATCTGTAAACTTGATTTAAATGTTGCAGAGGGCTTCTTGCTATCAGAGTATTTACCAAGATGATGTATTTTCTTAATTAGTCTCTTTATGCAAATAACTAAGCTGCTGACAGCAATGGTAGGAATACTTACTTTGTTGTACATTGCTTTAATTTCATTAGCTATGACTGTTGCTCTTTTAGTAACACTTACAAAATTGTCATTTTTTAATAAATAGTCATATGCTTTGAAAACATCAGCAGAAGTTAGCAGTTGATTTGTTTGGAATGGTCTAGGTTGCCCAAGCATACCATTTTCAGTTTCACTCCGTGTTTTAACAGTAGCCATTTTTATTTTCAATTTTAGTTAACTAAAGTAAAACGAATTAGAAACAACGTAATTTAAACGTAATATATATACAAGTAAATTTCTTTTAATGAAGTGCAGGACCATGTTAATAGGAAGTCAACAAACAACACTAATAGCTTTTTGTCTTATATTTTGTAGTGTGTTCTAAACTTTTGCAAAGTTACTATGAATATAATGCTATTAACATGAATCATCAAAAAATCTAAATCTTAATGCTTATATCCTGCAATTATACGAGTGTTATAAAATAGCATCATTTTGGCCTGTCATAGTAAAATTCAAGTTAAAGTTGCACTAACTAAATCAATTTTTTATTACATTTTTTTTACATAACATTAATAGGGACAACAAAATGCAACTTTATTTCCATGTTTCATAAAAAAAAAAAAAAATTGACCCACCCTAATATATATATAAATATATATATATATATATATATATATATATATATATATATATATATATATATATATATATATATATATATATATTTATATATATTTATATATATATATATATATATATATATATATATATATATATATATATATATATATATATATATATATATATATATATATATATATGTATGTTTGTAAATATATATGAATTTCTGTGATTAATCGCAATTAATCACAGAAATTCATGTGATTAATTGCAATTATAATATTTAATCATTGCCCAGCACTAATATATATATATATATATATATATATATATATATATATATATATATATATATATATATATATATATATATATATATATATATGTAATCAGATAAAAATGAATGTTTGGAAAATGAAAATTTATGTCAACATGGTCACTGTATCAATACAGTTGGTGGATATTACTGCAACTGTGCTGCAGGGTTCCAGTCAGATATAACAGGAACAAAGTGTTATGGTAAATCTATAAAGTTATTTATGTTTTTTTAAACAATTTATGTTTTTAGTGTATTTTTTATTTATTTTTTATTTAACTAATAAATTGATCAAAAAAAGCTATTTAAATTTTCTTTGAAAATTTTTTTTTATAATTCCCAAAATTACTTTTTTATACAAAATAGTGTTATTCTTGCATATGTATAAAACGGTCTTATGAACTTTTTTTCAACTTTTTTCTAAAAGAATTTATTTAGTTTTTTTGCAAGACAAAATAAAGCAAATAATTTTTTTTTAAAAGAATAATTGCTTTTTTGTGTCATTAGATATTAATGAATGTGACTTAAATGTATGTTTAAATGGTATATGTAAAAACATGCTTGGAATGTACAAATGCATTTGTGAGGAAGACAAAGGTTTTACACCTAACAAAAACGAGACTGCTTGCTTAGGTTTAATTTTTTTCCAACTTCTTTGATTATAAACCTTTTTTTGTTTATTATCTTCCGTGAAAATTGTTCTCAGTAAAAAAAAATAGATTTTTGTTTAGGTTTTATTCAATCATTTTTAATTTTTATTTGAAATAGTGAAAAAATTAACTAATTTATTTTAAGATATGCGTTTGGGATATTGTTATAATAAGCATTTAACTCCATGTGGAAATAGTAAACTTTCTTCAAATAAAATGGGAAAGCAATTTTGTTGTTGTTCTGCTCCTGATGGTACTACATGGCAAAATGATAATGATGAAGCCTGTGAAATTTGTCCTTACATTGGTAGTGGTAAGTGCATATTTTTGAGAAATCTTATTTTTTTACAATTTCAAACTTTTTGATGCAAATTTTATATGCGTGTTTTGTTCCACTGGTTCTATATCTCAAAACCACGTCCAATATATAGCATGTGGTTTGTTTGCAATTTGTGCACACACACGGGCACTTTAAATAAGACTAGAAATGTAAAAGTCTAATTTAAAACATTTGTTAACAGTTGATATTTTTTCTTTTATATTTATAAGATGAATACAAAGTTTTATGTCCTGGTGGTCCATCATCCCATGTTAATGAAACAACTGGATTGGTTGAAAGTAATTTTATTTTATTTTAAGTTATGAAGTTATTATAGCCTTTAAAGTTATTTACAAAAAAAATATTTTTTAAAGGTAACTTTGATCAGCTTGCAATTTTATTTTTTAGACCATGATGGTTGTACATTTTTAACCAATTATTGTACAGGAGGACAATGTAGTAATAATCTAGATCAAGGAATTTCATGTCAATGTCCTGAGTTTACACAATTTAATGACAAAAATCTTATATGTGAAGGTACAAGATTTAAATTTTAAATTAAAGTTATTAGATTCATAAATCATTTATTTTCTATATAATATATAATGCTGATGACAGACCTGAAACTTTAGGTAGCATAAAAAAAAATTACTTTTCTATTTAATTTTTTTATATATAATAAGTCAATATATATTTTTAAATATTTGTTTTTCAAATATATAGATTTTCATAGATTTTCAAATGAACATGTAAATAACTTTTAAATTTTAAAAATAATTTCTCATTCGCATTCTCCTTAGTAATGATTCTCCTTGTAATGAAAAACAATATAGTAAATAAAATAGTTTTCTGGTGTTTCCACCATTTAAAAAATGCACGAAATAGAAGTATAGTTAAGCATTTGTTCTACCAAGTATCATTGTGAAACTTTATGAAACTGTAAAATGACTGTGACTATAAATGTTTTTGAAAAATATTTGTTTTAAATACCTGATTAAATATTGTTTGTTTTAAATACCTGATTAAATAAGAAATTGTAGAATGCATTTTAATATCACTATAAAAAAAGTAATATATATATATATGTGTGTGTGTGTGTGTGTGTGTGTGTGTGTGTGTGTGTGTGTGTGTGTGTGTGTGTGTGTGTGTTTATGAATGTATGTATGTATGTATGTATGTATGTATGTATGTATGTATTTATGTATGTATGTATGTATGTATGTATGTATGTATGTATGTATGTATGTATGTATGTATGTATGTATGTATGTATGTATGTATGTATGTATGTATGTATGTATGTATATATGTATGTATGTATGTATGTATGTATGTATATACATTTTATATTTATATACATCTTTTATATTTATATATATTTAATTCACTGTTTAAATTAAGAATTTTTAAATTGTCTAAAAATTGAGGTTTTAATAATGGTTACAATGTAACCATGATATTATTTTCAAGCTTTTAGTTTTAACCAAAATTATTTAAATCACTTTTAACATTATGTATAAAAAAAGCTACTAAATTAACAAAATAAAAATGTTATTTGATAGTAACCACCAAAATTTAATTAAACAGCTATGTAGAATAATTTTAATAACTGTTTTAAACAAATTCAATTTTGATTTAAATGTTAGAAATTATATTTTTTCATTTTACTTTTACAAGTAAAACTGTCAAAGTAAAATGAAGTTGTAATTTTGTATCTTACATAGATACATACATACATAGATGCATAGATACATAGATACATACATACATACATAAATACATACATACTTCCATACATACATACATACATACATACATACATACATACATACATACATACATACATACATACATACATACATACATACATACATACATACATACATACATACATACATACATACATACTTATAGAGTCAAAGCTCCATAAGTATGTATTTGTAATATTATGTAATACATTGTAATAATATGTAAGTTGGTAAAATTAAATGTAGCTATTTTATTTATTATTTTTTGCCTTGTAAATATTATTATAAATATTAAGTCTTGTAATTTATTATAAACTCTAGATATCAATGAATGTTTAACTGCTGGTATATGTGGTTTTAATGCAAAATGTGTAAATCTTGAAAAAGGTTATCGGTGTGAATGTGAGAAGGGAACGGTGTTTGATGAAGAAAATAATTTTTGTCATGGTAATCTTTTTTTTTTTTTACATTGGCTTGCAGATTTTTTTTTGCCAATTTATTCAATAATGTGTAATAATTTTAATAGATTTCAGAAACACAACTTGTTTTCTTCCAAATAAAAACTTTAATAATGAATGTAAAAGTCCACTTCCTGTTCAAGTATCTATTGGTCAGTGCTGTTGTGGAGTATCTGGTAATCGATATGGCCCTGATTGCAAAGCATGTCCGATGAGTGGAACAGGTAGAATTTTTTCATTTATAATACCATATCTTAATAATAAATATCTTAATATCATAGTATAAATTACTATGTTATTATATATAACCATATCTTAATAATAAATATCTTAATATCATAGTATAAATTACTACGTTATTATATATAATACATATAGTTTACTTTTAATAACACATAGTTTTAACGAGCAAAACATGTTAATAAAATTTTTTAATAATACTTCATGAATCATGTGTCTTTTTTATAATAGTATTTGCTAAATAAAATTAATAAAAAAAAATTATTGTAATATTTTTTGGTTTAGAGAGAGAAGCTTTATGCGTTAAGAAGCCAACAATTGGTCCATTTGTTACAGGTCAACCCCCTATTGGTTCAACTAAACCTACTACATCTTTAAAACCAATAAAACGTAATCCTGGGGTTTTACCAACCATTAGTTCTATTGGAGATATAAGTGGCACTTCTCAACCAAACGTAACTGTTAATATTAAATATGGTAGCTCATTGTTATTTTAATTTTTTTAAATTTTATTAGGATTTTTTTAGATATTTTTTTAACAGTTTTGCTTTTTTATAGATTATTGATTATTTCAAATTTTTTTTTGAAATAGCACAATTTTTTGTGTTACCTTTTTGCATTCTAACTAGTTTTTTTTTTTTTTAATTCTTTTTTTTTGATATAGATATTGATGAATGCAAATTTTACCCTGACATATGTGGTGAAGGCACTTGCGTGAATTCAATTGGTGCATTCCACTGCAACTGCAACAAAGGTTTTAAAGAAGAAAAAGTAAATTCCATTAATAAATGTGTTGGTAATATTATTTTTCACATATTTATTTTTTATATGCGTGATTTCTTGTATTTTATATTGTACTTTAATGAAAATTTTTAAAATTTAGATATCAATGAATGCCTAACCAACCCATGTGTCAATGGAATTTGTAACAATATAAATGGTGGTTTTTTTTGTTCATGTAAAGAAGGGATGACTCTTGATAAAACAAACTTAAATTGTGTTGACTTAGATGAATGCAAAACTCCAGGGTATTGTGAAAACGGGAAATGTGTGAATCTTCTTGCGGGAGAAGGTTTTATTTGTGAATGTGGTAATGGTTTTAGGAAAAGTTTGGATAACAAAACTTGCACAGGTATGTTGATACTTTTAAAAAGTGTTATTTGTACATTAGTTGAGTGAAGTTTATTGTACATTGAACAAGCTATTGTACATATTGTACATTGAACAAACTATTGCATTGCAAACAAGCACAGCTGTTACCAAAACATACAAATGATAACACAAATATTACCAAAGTGAAAAAAATTAAGTTTATATTTTTTTTATTATCTTTTAAAATCTATCAAGAATGTTTCTTTTTTATAGATATAGACGAATGTTCTTTGCCAGGAATCTGCATACATGGAAAATGCAAGAACATACCAGGTTCTTATAACTGTGATTGTGATCAAGGATTTAAAACTAATCTAGCAAAAGAATGTGCTGGTAAGTTTTGTTTTAAATTTTTTCAATAGTAAAGCAAAATTAGGAGTTGTTGAATTTTGCAAAATTTAAAAGTTATTGAATTTTGCAAAAGCAAAACTGTTTTTATTGATTGATACACTTGGGTTTGATTGATTACTAAATTTTGTAATAAAATTATCATCATATAATAACAACATATTTAATAATCTGTAGTTAATCCAAAAGGTTTACTAATGTCTATAGTTAATTCAAATTTTTTTTTATAAAATAATGTCTACAATTTAAAAAACATTTTCTTCTATTTAAGTTATAACTTAATCTAAAAATTTTACTTTATAAATATAATGGTGAATAAAATTCCAAGTTAGCTGATAAAAAATGTTTTTGTATAGGAACTTTTTTGATTGCATCATGATCTGCATCATCATCTGAGTCTGATCTTGTTTCTGTAACAGCTTGGAGCTTGCAGTGGCTTGTAAATTTTAACTCTAGCTTTTATAATAATAATAAATAAGCATGTATTATTTTATAAATATAATGGTGAATAAAATTCCAAATTAGCTGATAAAGAATGTTGTCGTATAGGAACTTTTTTGAAATGTTTCTTTTTATTCTAAGGAAGGTTGACAGAGTAGCAATGCTTAATTTTAGAAATAGACACTTTTATGAAAGCACAATATGAAAAAGAAGGTTCAGTGAAAAGTGGAAATCTTGACAAAAGGTTGTATTAGAGATCAATTTTATAAAAGCTTGAGGTCAGGTTTAAGATCATCCTGATCACTTGATTGCATTGTGATCTGCTATTAATAACATGTAAACCAGTCAACCTGCTTCATTTTCTACTACTTTGTGTGATTTAATTTTCTAGGCAAAAGCTACGAGAAGTTAACTCTACTTTGAGATGAGTACTTAACTAACCTTAGTTAACTCTGCCTTTTATGTTATCTACCTTTTATGTACCTTAGTTACATATTATTTACCTTAGTTATTTACTTTTTTTTTTGAGTAAAAGCTAGAGATATTGTTTAATAAAAAAAAAAACTCTTAAACAGATGTTAACTGCTACTTGAACAGATGTTAACTGCTACCTTGAACAGATGTTAACTGCTACTGGCTACTGTCTTGTAGAAAGTTTCTTAGATAAAGATTTTAGGGGTAAGCAAAATATCTCTCTTGACCAGCCTCCCCTCATTTCTTCACCTGGTTTAAGCCTTTCATAGATATGAACCTGTGTTACATTTTCCTGCCTGATGATAAATACTCAATCTTCAAAGGTTCCATGAATCTTATTTATAAGTTTTTGTTGAGTAGTGGCTGTGTAACTCTTTCTGTTAGTATCTCCTAATGAGGGTGCAACTCTAAAACTCAGTTTATTAGTCCTAAGACCACTGGTGGTATTTCCCAAACACTGTTATAGCTCTCAGAGAGATTTCATTAATATCTGTAAAACATGTTGGTAATGAAATCAACTTAAAAATAGCTGTTAATAGCTATTCTTTGATTTAAAAAGACTCCAATAGACATATGCTTGGCATATACTTATACACTTGTTCTTTTATGTACTTTTATTTTGCTTCTCTTCACCCAATCATCTTTCTTTTTATTTTTTATCTCCTTTTTATGCTGGAGGCAAAACTATTGCTTAGAACAGGAAGTCAATCTTGAGTATGATCTTGTTTCTGTAACAGCTTGGAGCTTGAAGTGGCTTGTAAATTTTAATTCTTTTATAATAATAAATAAATAAGCAAGTATTGTTTTTAAAAACTTAAAAAAATAATACTTGCTTTATTGAATTACACAATTTAACAAATTTTTATTTTTTTTTCGTTCCTAGATTGTAATTAATTTTTTTATATTGCTTCACCCTGAATTACAGTCATGTGTAAGAAATGCTGTTGAATACTTTTGAAAGGTTTTGGGTTTGTAAGAACTCAGTTATTTACTACAAACAGTTAACACAATATTTTTAAGATTCCTATATTAATGAATGGCATCTATTTGGATTATTATTAACTACTAACCTCTCATGGAGACCATGCAATTCCTTGCATAGTAAGCATTCAGTATAGGTTGCTTATGCTTTTCATTTTCTTTCTCCATTCTCTACCTCTATAAACTGCATTTATATTCTATTTTAATTATATATTTTTAATTACTATTCTTATCTTATGTTACAATACAGTACCTTAATTGTCGATTCAATACACCATCTCAAACCTAGTTACACCATCTTTATTATTGTAATGAGTCAACCACATTAACTGAAGATTTAATAACTAACTATTGTTACAAACTATTCATATATTCTTGTCATGATAAGAAGCCAGCACTCTCTGATTGCTTAGAGGGGACATTTGAGTTTACAGAATGTGGCTCTCAGTGGTTGGTGAACTTTAACACAGATAAAACTCAATTTTTTTCAGCTAGTTGTTATTACAATAATGTAGATCTTCTATTTTTGTAAATGATAATATACTTGATGAGTCATCTACCTTTCGTCTTCTAGGATTAACTTTTACTTCCCATCTTTCTTGGAAATTATATATCAAATCAATTGCTAAATTAGCATCTATTAAGGTTGCATCTCTTTATCATGCTCACCACTTTCTTACTCAGGATTCTATTATTTACCTCTATGAATCTCAAATCTGTCCTTGTATGGAATACTTTTATCATATCTGGAGCAGATCTTCCAATGATCCCCTTTCTCTTTTAGGTAAGTTGCAAAAATGCATTGTAAACATAGTTGGACCTGCTCTTGCAGCCAACCTCCAACTATTATCACATTGTCGTAATGTTGCTTTTCTTCCTCTTTTCTATAAGTACTATAATGGGCACTGCTCTGGGCTAGCGCCTTTTGTGCCATCTACTAAAGTTCAAAAGTGCTCCAAAAATTCTTATTCTTCTAGTTTTTTTCCTTGAACATCAGTTCTTTTGAATTCGCTCCTTTTTTTTATTTTAATTTTTATTTTTTTATTACTGTAGATATTGATGAGTGCAATGATTATCCAGATTTATGTATTCATGGCCACTGCATTAATTTATTTGGTAGCTTTATGTGTGAGTGTGATGATGGCTTCAAGCAAGATCCAATAAAGCAATCTTGTCCAGGTTTTTTACTTTTAAGATATTTTTTGAATAGTTTTTTCAGAATTTTTTTGATATACTTTTATTTATTTATTACAATCCAAATAAGAAAAATATGTTCATATTAAATGCAAAAAAGGTCATTTTGTTGAGCATAATTTGTTGATACCAAAAACAAAAATGTTTATTTATCAAAGATATCAATGAGTGTCAATTGCCTGGTTACTGTGAAAATGGGCGTTGCAAAAACACTGTTGGTTCAGCAAGTTGTGAATGTAATCAAGGTTTTGAGAAAAATATCAATGGGACATCATGTGAAGGTATTTTTTCATAGAATTACTTTATAATTATATTTTAATTAAATATATTTCATATTCATAAATTAATATATTAGAATACATTAATTTATGAGTATGAAAATTTCTCTCTTTTTTCTTTCACCACTTTTTCTGTAAATGCAAAACTTTTATAATATTTAAACTACAATATGTTATTTAATTATTGTATACTATTCAACTATTGCATATTATTTATTGTATATTATTTACTGTGTCAGTTATTTACTATTTAATAGTATTTATTACTTTTAAAAACTTGAAAAAGAATAATACTTGCTTATTTATTAAATTACACAATGTAACATTTTTTTTTTTTTTTGTTCCTGGATTGTAATGAATTTTTTTATATTGCTTCGCCCTGAATTACTGTCATAAATGTGTAAGAAATGCTGTTAAATACTTTTGAAAAGTTTTGGGTTTGTAAGAAGTTTAGTCTATTTGATATTTTCAAAAAAATAAAAAGTTGCAATATACTTATTTTTAACATAAATGTTCATTTAAATGGGTCCCAAAAGTGCAGAGACAAATTGTGTTCATATTAAAGGGATTTATTAAAATAAGAAGAATATATTTTTTTAGTAAAACATAATAATAAATGTATACCAAGAAAAACTAACTTTGTTGTTTTACTCAAAGCTTGCTGTCTTCATGTTAGCCAGTTGCTTTAAAATATACTCTGCAATCTACAGACTTTATAATTTATTCAAGCGCGCTTAATTTTAAAGAGTTTTAGTATATTACCTCATTGTAAAATTTTAATAAAAAATCGAAAAATTATTTTTTTAATCAAATTATAGCATTTTTTTAATTATAGGTTACTAAAGATTTTGTTTAGTTACTTATTATTAAATAAAGGTTTTGTTTTTCATCATAAATTTCTATAGAATTTCTTTAGTTATTTTATTTTTTATGTTTCACAAATTTTTCAGATATTTTAAGCTTATTTATTTCTAAAAATTATTTTTGTGTTATATTTATTGTTATTAAATGATATTTGGTTCTCCCGCTCCATAAAAAAACATTCTTTTGTTTATCTTCCTATAAGATTTATAGGAAAGTCATATGATTGATGATAAACACTTATTTTTTAAATTTAAATCAAACAAAAACAAATAAAATTGATTAAAAAAAAAACAAAAAAAAATTGATTTAAAAAAAAAATGCCATCAAATACTAAAACATTTTGAAATTAAACACGCTTGAATAAGTTTTAAAGTCTGTAGATTGCAGCATATATTTTAAAGAATTAAAGCAACTGGCTAACATTAAGAAGGAAAGCTTCGAGTACAACAACAATTTTTTTTTTTATTTTTTATTTTCTTGGTATATGTTTAATATTTCGATGAAATCAAAAAAATTCCAAATTTTTTTTAATCATTCTTTTTAATATAAACACAACTTGTCTCGGCACTTTGGGATCCCTTTAAAATGTGTTCATATTTTTAGATTTACTAGGTATTTCCCTTTTTTTACATTTTTATTTTGACATGAAGTTTGTTTATTCAGTTTTGATATTAAAGGGAGTTGAATTGAACCAATTAAGTTGATAGTAAATTTTTTCAAAATTATGAATAAAAATATTTTTTTTCTAATAAATATATTTAATTTATTATCTTAGAACTAAAATTTATTATAATTTATTTCAATGTTTGCAGATGCTTACAAGAAGTTGTAGACACCACCATAGGCACCCGCAGAAAATTTTCTAAGGGGGGGAAGGGGGGCAAAACATTTTTTGTTGTTGCTTTTTTTCCTGTTATCTATTATGTAAAATAATTTTTTTCTATATTTAGAAAATACAGGGGGGGGGCAAGTGCCCCCTCTTGCCCCCCCCCTCCCTCCTTGTGGGCGCCCGTGGACACCACACTGAATAATTATATTATAGCTGTGGTGAATATGTAATGAATAAAAATGAATGAAAGACAATGAACATGACTATTGAACATGAGACGATGAACATGACTATTAAAAGAAAATTTGTCAATGGTTTTCTGGGCAACCATAGGGCTAAAAAGAATTTTTAGCCCTATGGTTGCCCAGAAAATATTTGCAACTGATTAAAAGATAAGAGATTCCATAAAGATTTCCTCTAAACTTCCTGAAACGTATCAACTGGACATATTTATTGACAATATCGGCAACTGCTTCAAAGATGAGAGATTCCATAAGGACTTATGAAGGAAACAGATAGTGAAGAGTTACCAAGGTCTCTACAATGTAAAAATGATAGGAAAATCATATCTGTGGGCTAATTGAGAAGTGTAATCGATTCGGGTAATTGAGAAGTGTAATTGAGAATCTTTACAACAACCAAAAATCTGGAGTTTTAAAATATTTTTTTTAAAAATCTGTTTTAATTAAATGATTTCATTTTAATTCTTTGACTGTGGCAAGCAGTCTCTTTTAAAACTGATTTTTAAAACTACAACCTTTATTGTAAAAAGTTACTCTTTTCCTAAATATCATTCATTATTCTCCATATTGGGGCTTAAATTTTTTGTTTATAAATTATGTAGATGTTATAAAGTGAAAAATAGCATACAAATATCAAAATTTTTTTTTTTTTTTTTTTTCATTTACGGTTTTTTTAGTTTAATTTTTCTAAACATCTTTTAATTTTATCAAGCAGTCAAAGGGTTAATTAAATAATTTTTATATTATCAAGTTAAAAAAAAAAAATTGAAATTATTTACTTATTTTGCTCAGTTGATTTAGTTTGATGAACTAATGAACTAAAAAATTGTTTTTTATTCAAAAATATTCAATTTTGAAAATATCAATTCTGATGACAAACCCAAACTTCTGATTAAATAATTGTTTTTTTTTATATAATATAACAAACCAGGAAAAAAAAACTTAAAATCGAAATTTTGTTACACTGTGTTATTTATTAGATTGTATAAAAAAAAATTTTTTTTCTTATTTTAAAAAACAAAAAATGTTATTTAATTTTTAAAGACATAAATGAGTGCTCAGATGCCGACAATACATGTCAAATTGGTGGCAAATGTGTCAACGTAGTTGGAACATTTAGATGTTTATGCAATGCTGGTTTTATATCTGATACTGATAATAGACAGTGCATAGGTATAAAAATTTTCACATTTGTATTTATAAAAATTACCTAAAACTAATTGTATATAATGGTAAATAGTATAAAAGTTGTATAAAAGGTATAAAATGTAACCATCTCTTTAAATCTTTTTTTCTTTAAATCCTTTCTTTCCTTATCAAATTCTAACTCTCTCTCTCATCTCTTCAAGTTTTATAAAATCTCTAACATCTCTCTCATCTCTTCAAGTTTTGTAAAACAGCTCTTTGTCTTTTTTCTTTTCTCTTTCCTCATATTTCATTAAAAAGATAATACAAAATATAATATAAAATGATTATTTTTTATTTATTATGGCATTAGATATGCGCAAAGGATTCTGTTATTCATTGGTCCAGAACAAACAGTGTATGTTTTCAAATGAGTTTAGTATTAGCAAATCAACTTGCTGTTGTGCTATGGGTGCTGGCTGGGGAGAGAATTGTGAAACTTGCCCTGATAAAGGAACAAAAGAATTTGAGTACTACTGCCCAAATGGTGTTGGTTTAGAGCGCAACAGTACAGGTGTGTTTTATTTTTCCTTAGTTTTTGAAAAAAATTTCCCTGACGAAAACTGATAATAATAGTGCCAATAATGTAATGTAACATTGTTCAATAATATTAATAATAAATAATAATAGTAATTTTCTTAATAAAAAAGTATTTAAAAAATAATAATGATCATGACAATAGCAAAAAATATTTCATGTCAAAAAATATTTCATGTCAAAAAATATTTAATGTCAAAAAATATTTAATGTATAAAAAAATATAGATATTAATGAATGTGAGTCCAATCTTGGAAAGTGTATGAATGGAAAATGTGTAAACACAGATGGAAGTTTTAGATGTGATTGCAATAAAGGTTACATTCTCAGCACATCTGATCCAACCAAGTGTGAAGGTTTGTCAGTTTAAATTAATTTAAAATTTTTGTTCAAATTTTTTTTTCTGGTTTCTATAATGTGTTTTGGAATATTTCAACATAATACCATATTTTCAAATTAACTTATCTGATAATTGAAAAAATTAATAAAAATTTTAAGTGTAATTAGTACCAATAAGTTCATATCTGTTTCTATAATTTCTGTTTCCATATTTTAATAATCTTTTTTGATTTCAATAAATATTAAAAAAATATAATAATAAAACCCTCAAATTGGTTCAGCGTACATTTAAAGCAAGGTCTGTTTATTTAAAAAAAATTTCAAAAAAAATTTTGAAACCTTTTGCATAATCTCTTGGAGAAATTATTGTTTTGCAGAATGTATGCAGTTTATTTTGCAGAATGTATGCTGTTTGCAGAATGTATGCAGTTTGTTTTAATATAGTGTGAATAATTAAAACATTTATTCTTAGATCGTGATGAATGTACAGATGGATCTTCCCCTTGTGGGGCTGGAACCTGTCGAAATTTAGTTGGCTCTTATGCCTGCGAATGCGAAAAAGGTTTTAGATCTCATAGTCTAAGTGATCCATCTTGTGTTGGTAATTAGATATTTATATTTATATATTAATATTTTTCTATATTATGTAATTGTAATATTTTTTTTTTATATATTTTTTGTTTTACCATAGCTCATTTTTCAAGTATTTCATACCTAACTTGACTCATCTAACATATATGAGTTGCTGTAGACTGTTTTACTAATTTTGTCAAACTTTCATCTAAAAAATAATTATTTATTTTTATCAATGCAAGATTAATTTAATTGATCAACTTATTAAAACTGTTGAAATGTTTTAATGAAGAATTTAGAGGTGATACAAATAATAAAACAAGAGTGAAAAGTATACCAAGTATATTTGTGGAGCTTCTCTAAAAGCTCCTTATTATAATATAAAGGTTATAATATAAAATTATAATATATTATAACATAAGTTATAATAAGTTATAAAAAATCTTTAAATTATAGTACTATCAATAACATGGTGAAACTACTGCGAAGACCAAAGGATCAAATACCAAATAATGTTCTAAAAGAATTTCAATGTTTGGATTTTTCTTGGAATGTTGCATAAATAGTTTTTAGTGTATTATGTTAGAAAGTTTATTGCATAATAAATAAACTTGATTTAAGCAAATTATCTCATTTTCGCAACACCAATGACTAAGAAATAGATAAAGCTATATAGTGTAGTATCTCGCAATGGTGTAGCAACTTGGTAATCATTATTATCTGTTTAATATCCAATGAAGAACTCTAGATTAAACAGAGTAGATCATAGGAATACAGTATTGCTATTCAAGCATTGGTTTCAAGACAATCTTGTATGTACCATGACAAAATTCTTTATAACGTATAGAAGAACACCATTCTCTTAATCTTTTTTCAATTTGACTTCGCTATGAAAAAAACACATCTAAACTTTTTACAGTATTTGTGTTAATAAGGTGTTAAAAGTTCAAAGTGATAAGATTTCAAAAAGTTCAGAGATCAGGAGGTAATCTACTGGTATTTAGAATGGTAGCCCTCCTATCAAAGACCAACTCATCATTGTTAAAGATATAAATACAAAGAAAAACTAACATGGAAATGGATTTTTTAAAGCAGGAAAATTTGCCAAGTTTACGATCAGGAAATCATACGGGCTCTAAAGTCTTACATGATTAGTGTGATAAAATTTCGAAAGTTTTGTTGTTTCTTAATACCAAAATACAGACAAATGAATTAAAGTATTTGAGACTTCTTGAGATAGAGTTATAAAAAAATAAAGCACTTGAGAAAAAAGTATTAAAAATGGAAAATGACTGTCTGCAGAAAGGGTTAGAAACATGTATTGTGGTACTAGAAGATCAAAAAGACTCTTGAGAATCATTGCCAAAACAATCGTACTCAGATGCTATAACAAGTATAAATTGGTCTACTTCTTTTTCTTAAACAAAATCCCCAGTTGAACAATTAATTGTTGTAAATGCAGCTATTAATGAGCAAAAAAATAGAGAAAAAAGAAGAAAGACTATTATTGTCTATGGCCTTCCTGCATCTAAAAAAGCTACATTGCAAGAACAACATGAAGAAGATAAAGAACAAATTAGTAAACTATTTCATGAAATAAATGTAGAAATTTTCTTAACATTTCAAAAAAGGCTGAATACGAAACAAATAGGAAAACCAGGACCAATATTAGTGATTTTAAATGAAGATTCTGAGAAAAATCCAATTTTAGCAAAATCTAAATTATTAATAGATAATAGAAAAGAAGCAGTGAGAATGGAAAATTATGAGCTTAGAAAGAAACGTGACAAAATGAATGGCGAAAGAATAGCAAATTTGCCCTTTAGATATGCGATCCGTAGAAATGGAATTGTCAAATTTAAAATACAGCTTAACACGATAACATAAAAAATTAGTAAGTTTATTATCATTTAATGTTTTATATACAAATGCAACATCTTTAGTAAACAAAGTTGAAGAATTTAAAATCTTATGCAGTTTTAAAAATCCTCAAATAATTGCTATTTGCTATATTACTATTACAGAAACCTGGTTTAATGAGACATCGGAAATTTATATGGAAGGATATTCTTTGTATAAATGAAATAGGGGTAATGGGTGTAGAGGAGGAGGGGTTGCGCTATATATAGATAGCAAATTAATATCTTATGAGGTAAACAAAGGTATATTAAATAGAAGTAAAATTGAACAAATATGGATCATTATAGTAGCAAATGATAAAAAATATTTAATTGGTTGCCTGTACAGACCAAATGAACAAGTAGATATGCTTGAAATGAGTCAAATATTCACAGAAGCTTGTAAATTAGTAAAAAAAAAATTTTTTGCTGATTTATTAAATATTGGTGATTTTAATTTTCCAAATGTAGAATGGTCAAATGGATACATTAGTGATATTTTTGTAGGTGAAGATTCTGTTGAAAATTAATTTATTAGTATTATATATGAATGTTTTTTGTACCAACACATTTTAATCCTAACCTTTCAATATGCACAATATGTTACAAAAAATACCTTGAATCTTATTTTTACAAAAAACAATGAATGAGTTTATCAACTTGAGTCTAATCCAGTTCTAGGAAATATAAATCATAGATATTTTAACTTATAAATTTAACCTTGATACAATTGCAATGGAAAATTATCCAAAGTATAAATTTGATTACAGTAAATGTGACTATCCACAAATAAGTCTAAGTATTGATAAAATTGACTGGAATTTTTTATTTGATAGGTTATCAGTTCAATTTATGTATGATCTGTTTATTGAAAAAATTAGTCAATCATGTAATGCTTTTATTCCAATAAGTGACATAAATTCGAGGAAGAAAAGAAAAATAATCCTTGGTTTACTGATGAAGTAAATCTTCTAGTACGTTCAAAACAAAATTTGCGTTATCAAAATTTATCATCCAACTGGAAAGATTTGAACAAAGTAATGAAATATAAAAAATATTTGCAAAACTGTGAAAATAGAATCGCGTAAAGCAAGATGTAAATATAAAAATGATCTTGTTGAAGAATCAAGGATAAATCCAAAACTGCTATATAAATATGTGAATAGTCAAAAAACCATTAAACAAGTAATTAAAGCATTAAGAGATCAAACTGGTTGCGTAACAAATGATCAAAATGAAATTGTTGAAATTTTAAATAAAAAATTTCAAGATGTGTTTACCATCGAAAATTCTACAGAAGAGCTTCCACAAATTGAGAATTTAGGGGATATTGTTATTGATGCAGTTAATATAGATTATTTTGATGTTTTAAATAGATTGAAACATGTTGATATCAATAAAACTTATGTAGTTGATTCTATACACCAGTTGATTTTGAAAAATTGTGCCGATTCCGTAGCATTGCCATTAACTTTAATTTTTAAAGAATCTTTTGTTAAAATTGAACTACCAACTCAATGAAGAGCAGCAAATATTACACCAGTATTCAAAAAAGGAGATAAATTAGAAGCTACAAGTTATTGACCATTGTCATTGATATCAATTACTTGCTAAATTATGGAAGGTATAGTCAGAGACTGCATACAATCATATTAAATGAAATATAAATTTATATCGAAGTCACAAGATGCTTTTGTTAAAGGGAAGTCTTGTACAACAAACTTATTAGAGGCATTGGATTATATTTCATTTAATATATCGATTGGTATTATGGTAGATAAAGCACTTTTAGATTTTGTTAAAGCTTTTGATTCTGTTGCTCACAAAAGACTATAGATTAAACTATCTACATATAGAATTAGTGGTTTATTATTAAAATGGATTGAAGCTTTTTTAAAAAATAGAATTCAAAGAGTTATCCAAGGTGATATTGTTTCTTTATGGCGCAAAATTTTTAGTGGTGTTCCGCAAGGATCAGTAATAAGGCCCTTATTATTTGTTATTTTTATTAATGGTATATCAGATATATTTAAAAATAAGTCAGAATTGTATGCAGATGATACAAAAATTCTTTCAAAAGTGAATGAAATAAATGTTGGAAATAGCTTGCAAAAAGATCTGGATAGTGCAGAGGAATGGTCTAAAAAGTGGCTCTTGGGTTTTAATTCTAGTAATTGTTATATGGCATTCTGGTATAAATAATCCGCGATTGAAATATACATAAAATGGTATTGAACTGAAAGATTCTGAATGCAAGAGAGATTTAGGTGTATATTTTTCAACAAACTTGAAATGGAAAAAACAAATTATATCAAGTACTTCTAAAGCAAATTTAATGATGGGTATGTTTAAGATGACATTTTCACGAGTTGATGCAAAATTGGCTAAAACTTGTATAAAGTAAAACTAAAACTTCTTGTTTAAGGTAAAACTAAAAATTGTACAAGGTATTTTTATTAGACCTCTTATTGAGTTTGCAGTACCTGTTTGATCACCTTGTTTTAAAGGAGACATATCACTCTTGGAAAAAGATCAACACAGATGACTAGATTAGTTCCATCATTGAGGAAAATTAATTGTGAAAAGAGATTGGAAATATTAGATATATTTACATTGAAAACAAGGAGGAAACGTGGGGATTTAATAAAAGTGTTTAAATTACTAAACAGATTCGAGGAAATTGATTTAATTAATCAACCAAAGCTTAAATTGATTCAATTACTCGAGGTTACAATCTTAAATATGAAAGAGAAATTGTGAACTATTTACCTCGGCATCATTTTTTATTAAATCGTACAGCCAATTTATGAAACACTTTACCGGAAACTGTTGTTATTTCAAAAACTGTCAATCAATTTAAGAACAGATTAGATAAGTTACAGTTTAACTAATAACTAACTATCAAAAGGATAAATTGGCTTTCAGTTTTCCTACACTGAATTTCAATTTGAAATTCAGTGTATCACTCTTTACACTTTTTATCACTCTTGTGAGCGAGAAAATGATTACAAGATCATGCAAAAGAAGTTTTTCAGCTAGATCATAAACAAAAAATCAAAGAACAGAGAAGAAATTAAGCAGTTAAGAATTTTTTGAAATCTTTCAGTCTAAAATAAAAGCATCAAAAGATGATGTAGTTGATGATGCAATTCAGTTTAAATGTTTAAATGACATTAAAAATCTTCTGATGTGAATAGAAATAATTGATGATGCAATTCAGTTTAAATGTTTAAATGACATTAAAAATCCTCTGATGTGAGTAGAAATAATTGATGATGCAATTCAGTTTAAATGTCTAAATGTTTATTTAAAATCCTCTGATGTGAGTAGAAATAATTGATGATGCAATTCAGTTTAAATGTTTAAATGTTTATTTAAAATCCTCTAATGTGAGTAGAAAGTAACAAAATAAAAATCATTTATTTTTGAAGGTCTAAATAAAAAAGTAAAATAAGTAAATAAAGATTATTATCAAGTAAGCTTTTATTTCTTGTTATATTTTTTTAATTGTATGATCAATGCAATGCTTAATGATATACTAAATTAAGTGGCTGATACAGATTGAACCTTTGGTTTTAAATGTATTTTTAAAAAGAGTATTCTGTAATTTAATCCTTGTAATTTTATCTTTGGTTTTAAATATGTTTAAAAAAAGAGTATTCTGTAACTTAATCCTTGTTTTTTCCAAAGTTTTATTTTTCATTTCTTTTTTTTGACTGACTCTAAAATGAAAAATTTTTTAAATTAATAAACTGTGACATTAAAACATATTTAACACCTTTAAATTTTCAATTTTTATGTTAATCTTATTTAAAATATTAGAATTGCCAACAATTAACAAACTTTTTAAAAACTACAGGCTGTTATCTAAAAAATTTTAATAATTAAAAATAAAAATAAATATGTTTATAGTTATTAGATTTTAAATTTTTTTGTATTTTATTTTTTTGTATTTTTTTGTATTTTGTATTTTGTATTTTTATTTTGTACTTTAGATATAAACGAATGTGATGAAAATAATGGTACTTGCTCGTACCAGTGTGTTAATGTACCTGGATCATATACATGTGTTTGTCCAAATGGTTACACACTATCAGATGATAAAAAAGATTGTCAAGATATCAATGAATGTCTAATTCCGAATATTTGTCCCCACAGATGTGAAAATTACATTGGTGGATATCACTGCCTATGTTTGGAAGGTTACAATATGGATAGATTAGGAAGATGTGTTGGTAATTTTTTTTGTGTGTTAAGCATAAAATTTAAACAAAGGATAATTTGGTCTGCATTCTGTGTCCTTTAAATTTTTAAAAAAAGATCTAAATTATATATATATATATATATATATATATATATATATATATATATATATATATATATATATATATATATATATATATATATATATATATATATATATATATATATATATATATATTAACAATTTTGATCTTATTTTAAAGGACACTAAGGCATACTAAGTTTTTCTTTAGTTATATTATAAATAAATAAAAAAACACACACAACACTCGTAAGAGCATACTTAGGCCAGCACTCTGATATTGAAATACTTCAACAGCCTAGGCAAAAATTGATGTATTCAGGTCTTTGATTTGGCCTATTTCGATTAAAATGTTTTTAAATTTTAAACCTACTTTATTATTCAATTTCTATTAATTGGATTTTAAACTGATTTTGTAAAAAAGTTTTTTTTGCAAAAATTTGTTTATAGAGAGCATAGTATATGGTGGATCTTTCAGATAGAAATATTTAACTATAAACAAAAAACTCATTGCTTTATTTGACTTATTTTAATGAAAATTAAGTCACAAAAATTGCTGAAGTTTCACGTTAATAATGCGCTAAATAATTTGTCTTTATTCTTTTTTTACTTTAAGAAATACTTTATAATTTTTTATTTTTTTATATTTAACGATTATTTTTAAAATTATTTTTATATTTAGTTTATCTTGTATGAGAATGCATCAATGTACTAGAAAATTGTTTAGCATAGCAAAATTTAAATGTAATTAAAAAAAACATATTTTAGTATATTAAACAGCTGTTGCGCTGAATTAACTATCAAAAACATTTTAATTATTGTGAGCTTCTCTGAAAACCCCTAGTAATGTATTCACCTACGCCTAAATTAGTCAATGTATGTACAATAGGGGTAGGAATTTTTTACACTTTTTTCTTAAAATCAATTTGCCCTATTACTACTGGTGAAAAAACGTTATAAAAAAAATATTTAAAAAATAATTTTAACCATAACAAAAACTTTCTGCGCAAATTCATTTTTCCGAAATGATAAAATTTGTCAAAAATCAAGTTATGAAATCAAGTTGCGACAGATTGAAAAGTCTTGTTTTTAAAAGGAATGACTTTTATAAACTAAAATATTAATTAAAAAAAACTAAGTAACAAGTTTACATGGGATGAAAATACCTTACAAACAGTGCTGTTGGTAGAGAGTCAGAGCTCCCTCCCTCCAACTTGTCATAAGGGCGTTAAAATCTTAAAAACCTTCCATTACTAGGTGTATTACTAAAAAAAACACCTTATATTTGGAAAAAAACCCTTAAATTTGAAAAACGCCCCCAAATTAGCAGGTCCAACAAATTGTCTACCGTGGCTAGCCCCCATGCTCACAAACAATGCATAAAAATTTCCGTAATTTGGGGTAAAGTTTGTTGAGTTCTAAATTTTTAGTCTTTGAAAATTGCGTCATGGAAGTAAATACAGTTCAAACAATAAATTATTTTATTACAATAACACACATAGGCAGATTAAAGTTTATTTCAGTGTCTCAGAAGTTTGGCCTCTAAGTTGATGACGTTTCTTTGATGAAATAATTTAACTTTTGCAAAAAACCTTTCGCACATTTCATTTGTGTAATCAATGTCTAATGGACAATAGTTCTAAATATCACAGTGTTTTTTTAAACACTCTAGGCAATTACCAGTTAATGCCAATTTTAACTTCGTTATATTGTCAACATTTCTTCTGCAAGAGAACCATGGCTTAGCCCAGTGATCTACAATAAAATTGCATGCCTCTATTATTGATCTGAGTCAAAAGCATATATTTTAAGCAATAGATAGCTCTTGAATTCCAATTACAGATACACTCCATATACTCATTCTTGCCATATTTTTGATTTTAATAACTGGCCTGTTAGGCTTGTATTTTTCAATTAAATCATGATATTATGAATCAACTCATTAATATGAACCAGTAATTAATATTAGGCGATGTTGATAAGGAATCAAACTTTGAGTTCATAAAATGCTTAAAAATTAGGTTGAGAACATGAAGTCCACAAGGATGATACACTAAACCTAGAATAATTTTTGTAAAACGCCTAATTACTCCTTTTTAGAATCTATATTTATTGCAATGGTGTCACATATTAACATGTTATAAATAGAAACAGAGTTGCCTTTCTCTAATTTTTTCAAAGATATTACCAAATGTTTAGACTTGCTTTAAATGCAAGTGTTATAATAATGTTGTTTGTCTATGCTCTTACCATCAGAATGTAAGCACCACATTTCTTCAGAAGAGCTTATATAAGACCGAATCAAGCTTAATTCATGCACGAGTGTTGTACATGCTTTCTGGACTGTCGATCTGCAAATTGATGTCTCACCAAAGGCATTGAGTACAGCTTCTGCAATCTTTGCCGTACAACTTACCGGATACCCTTCATTTTCAGCTGTCTTAGCTACTATTTTACCGGTGATCTTTGCAGGTTTCAATGGGATTGTGTAATCATCATTTGTACTATTTCACTACTAAATTTCTCTGTATCATCAAACAATTGACTATAATTTGTTTCAAGTTCTTTTCTTTTAGGTGGCATATCTTGCGGATGTGTTGTAATAGGCTCTGTCACAAGAGTTTGTCTTTCAAATTTTTAAATTTTGCATTTTTGGGCAATAAGTCAAATAATTTATCCCAGTTATTTATAATAATTATCTAATTATATTTTGATAAACTTCTATTGAGATTTCTTTAATAACATCTCTTGATCTTGGAATGTTACCCAATTCTAAAAGGAATTGATATCTTCCTAATATCTGCCTTGTCTTACATAATTTTGAAAAATCCGTCAGTGACTTCTCAATCAAATTTCCATATATACAATTTCTTGGCTTTAAAATATTGGAAGGGCAATCAATTTGTGCAATTAAATTATTTTCTGATATCTTATACATCTATAATACATTTTATATTTGAATATATACTATATGTAACAGTTAAACAATCTTTAACTATTATATATTGTTTAATAAACAATATGAGTTATTTAAGTAAATTTTTAAACTTTTGAAGATATTTTAAAATGGATTTGCACAGAGGGTTTTTTGCGTTTATATAGTTTATTTTTATGCTTTTGTGAGTTTTAGGTAATTACTCCACAGATAGTTATAGGGCCATTGTTGCGTTAAAAAAGTTAGCCATTAAAAAAGTTTTCAAAATGTGAATTCTGCGCGTGCGCAAATAATTAAAACTTTTTTAACGCATATAAGCGTTAAGAAAGTTAACCCGTTAAAAAAGTTTACCCGTTAAAAATGGCAGTGCAAACCTTGCAAATATGCAAAATATTTTAGCAATAAGTAAGATGTACAAAACATGAACAAATATTTATAACTTAATTGATATATTTTTATTATTTTTCTATATAATTGAATTTTTATTTTGTTTCTAATTATTAAAATCGATCGCTATAGCCACTTTGCTAAAACTGCTAGCTACTCCTAAAAATGATTAAATAAACTCCTGCTTATCTGATTACTACAACTAGCTAATTACCTAACTTATACCAGCTGGTATTGCTAGAAGTGCTAAATATGGAGGAATGTGACATTTCCAAACAAAGCGCAGAAATATTTTATTAGAAGTCCAACTGATCCGAGATTTCAGCTAAGTCAACTTAAAAATCAAAACTATTGATTTATTCAGCCAATTCCACTATTATTTGTGTGTGTGTTTGTGTGTGTGTGTGTGTGTGTGTGTGTGTGTGTGTGTGTGTGTGTGTGTGTGTGTGTGTGTGTGGTGTGTATGTGTGTGTGTTTTATTTCATTTATAGAGTTACTTTTCAAAACATTTATTACTGCAACCACAATGGGGATGAGAGCCAACTTCAACAAGAAGCCAAGTAATGAAAGCCAAATACGTAGAAAAAAAACAAATACAGACTATTCCAAGTTTTTTTTAACAATACAACATTGATTAAATATATATATATATATATATATATATATATATATATATATATATATATATATATATATATATATATATATATATATATATATATATATATATTATCAACAAAAATCAGTTTCCTTCTTTTATTTGAATGTGTCAAAAAGAAAATAGATCTTCTTTCTATCACAAGAGCATCTATAAATAAATTTATTTATATGATATTTTCTAAAATTTTTTGACAGTATCATACATATTCAAATAGTAATTTAAAAAATCATAAATATAATAATATATCTTACCTTAAAAATATCCCAAAGCACTGTGACAGGTATCATCACAAAGAAAGGATAAAGTGCATCTTTTAAGCCCATTTATTATGGTTATATAAGGAAACATTTCAAGTTTACCTTTTTCAATACACATTAGAAAATCTTTATATTTTTTTTATTTCTTGCCATTTTAATATTCATTGGTAGACAATATTTTTGTTCATTTAATATTATTGCTAATGATAAAGTCAGATTTTTTTTCTATATATGGCTTCATGTTTATTAAAGCAACAGCATTCCTCTAAACTTTTTCATTACAAGTTACAGCAGCACCATATTGTTTAAAGCTTGTGATTGTAGCAGATCCAAGCCAATCGCTCTCCATTTGGCTCCCTGTTTATAATGACCATCGTGCTCCATTTGGCTTCCTTTACAACCAATTTTTCTGCAATTTTTTAATAAAACTTTATCACCTATTTTAAATGAAAATGATTTACAACTCTTCATCTGTTTAGCGGCATAATACTTTTCATTTTTGTTTGAGCATCTAAAATATTTGAATTTACCACAATGCTGACTTTATTACATGAATCAATTCTATCTTGAATATGATCTTCAGTTGAATGAATTTCTTTATTATCATTAATAAGGTTTGAATTTGTTGGATTCATTGCTAAAGCTGAAAATAATTGTGTTTCTCTGCCAAACATTAGAAAAAATAGTGTAAATTTAGTTGATTTTTGAACACATGTGCGAAGACCAAATAATACTTGTTCTTACAACTTGTCCCAGTTATCCTGGGCTTCATTGCATAATTTTGAAAGGGCTCTCTTAACAGTCAGGTTTGTTCTTTCATCTTGCCCATTTGTTTGTGGGTGATAAGCAGATGTTATAAGGTATTTAACATTAAATAAAGAAAATAAAAGCTCACTTAATCTGTTTATGAACTCTCTGCCATGATCAGAAAGAATTTTTTTTGGAAGACCGAACCGATAAAATAAAGTGGCGAGGCACTTAGATACACACAAAGCAGACATCTGAGGAATAGGGAAAGCTTCAACATATTTACTCTAGAGGTTTGTTACTGTTAAAATATATTTTTGCCCTTTTGATGCAATAAGTAGTGGGCTAATTAGATCAATTCCTCAAAACTCCCATAGACCATTTACCCTAATAGGTTTTAATTAAGGAGCAACAGTTTTAATTTTTTCCATTCATTGGCATTTGTCGCATTCCTTGATCCATTTGGTAATATCGTTAACCATACCTAAAATACAAAGTAAATTACTAAATAATAGTATCATAAGTAAATGAATTAGCATTTTTTATTTCAAATTTATTTAAAATCTATATTTATTAATTTTTATTAATCTAAATTTTTTATTTCAAACTTTTTTAAAATCTATATTTAATTAAAAAAATAACCTAGCCAGTAAAAAGAACTTTTTAGTTTAGCTCTAGTATTGTTGAGACCAACATGTGCCCCATAATCAGAATCATCAATATATCCTATTGCATCCCGTGATCAGAATCATGGACATCTCTGAAAAACTTTTTTTCATGATCAGTTAAAAGAACTAGTAGCTTCTTAGATAATTTTATGTAGTACAATTTACCATCTAAAAAAAAAATTATATATATACATATTATATATTATATATATATATATATATATATATATATATATATATATATATATATATATATATATATATATATATATATATATATATATATATATATATATATATATATATACAGGCTTTCACAGGAAGAAATGCGATTTCACGTCTTTATATGACCACGCAAGTTACATTTTGCTATAACGGTTTGACCGCGGCAAATTCAAAAAACATTTTAGATATATTTTTTATTTGTTTATTATGTTCAAAAGTTAAATATTTTTCATAAAAAATACATAGTTATATAAATAAAATAAAAAAACATTTTATAAATACTTTTTTTAAATTAATTAGAAGTGTTTTTTTTTTTTTTTAACTTCATTAAAACATGGAAGTATAAAACAGATGGAAGTTCATTGAGCCACAAACATTAAAGCAGTTTCAAGTCGTCTCGGGAGTATGCTTGTAACTGACAATAAAAAAAAACAAGTTTCACTGGATAAAAAAACAACAAAATTCACTGAAATGATCTTTATTAAAAGATTAAAAAATGAATTATTCTAGGGATATGCTGCAAATTTTTAACCATGAGTAATTGCAATTATTCAACAAAAGGTTTATTAAAACTCGGTAATTAAATAGAACCACTTTATTTTAAAAGCATTTGTTAGTTTCCAGCTTCTTTTCTTGCTTCAAGTCATAACACGACATTTAATAAAAAAGACAACTAAAACAATTTTTAAAAAATCAAAAAAATTGTTTTTTAAATAACTTAAGTTTAAAGTTTTATTAGATGTATATCATAACTCCATTCATTCTTGTAGTAAAAAAACTATTAGGAAAAACTATTTGTAAAACGTTTTTTAAAACTAATAGTTTTTATGAATTTTTCAGAACTTTTTAAAAATATGTATTGTATAGCATTTGCAGACATCTAAACTAGCTTGTTTTGTAAAAAAGTCAAAATTTTTCACCTTATAGCGTTTTAAAAAATGGCTGCAGTATGGATGATACAAAAAATATGTTGAAATGAGATAATATGACGCAAAATTTAAAAGCCCTTAACAAAAACCACTGAAAAAAAAAATTAAAAGTAATTGCAGTTTATTTCACTTAAATATTTTAAGTTTAGTATAATGGTATTTGCAAAGAAACGTTATATATATCATTTTTTAATCCAAAACTAATTTTTTCTTAACTTTGTTGTATAGGCAGGTTTGGCGCTTAACCCTATATAACCGATATATATAAACAAATATGTTTTTTGTTTATGTATATTGTTTATAAAATCTGAAAAATCCACGTATATAACATTTTATTCAGGATCGTATGTGATGTAAGTAAAACTTTCTAATAATTATGAGTCTTTTTTGCTCAAGCTGTTTTGTTTTGATTATTTGTATGTATGTTATTATATTTAAAAAAATTGACAAGATTGAAAAAACACGAAACATATTGTCTCATCCAAGTGGAAAATTTCAAATTTTAATTTTAGATTTGCTCCTCTCTTGATAATTTCTGATTGCTAAAATTATGTTATCTGCTTCTTAGAATAATAGATGAGGCTTTTTGGGAATCATAGAAGCCACACATTTTTTGCGTATGTGACATCACTTTGTTGCAAAAAAACAGAAAAATAAATTAGAATTAAGTTAGAAAAATAAGTTAGAAATATTAATTTTTTTAAAAACACTCTTATTATTAAAGATATATGGAATATACTTTATGGGATATATTCTAATAAAGACAATTATTTATTTATTACTATTATAATAAATACAATCTCTTATCCGTGAAATTATATATCTGCAACAGTTTTATATATTTTTATGCAATTGTATGCCACATAATTTAAATACATATCAAAATATGTAACGATAAATGCAAAAGGAAACTTGGCGCATAAAGGTTTTTTTTGCCACACACCGACGTCAATGCGCAAAATAACTAACTATTAATGATTGTTTAATATGGAAACAAATGTTCTTTGATTTAGAGTACATCCAGTGCTTGATTGAGGAGGTGGGGGGGGTACAAGGGCTATAGCCATGGGACTCATGATGTTAGGGGCCGCTTAGGAAAAGTCTAACAAGATTCAACCAATAAAACTACAAAATAAATAAATATATATATATATATATATATATATATATATATATATATATATATATATATATATATGTATATATATATATATATATATATATATATATATATATATATATATATATATATATATATATATATATATATATATATAAATATATATATATATGTATATATATATATATATATATATATATATATATATATATATATATATATATATATATATATATATATATATATATATATATATATATATATATATATATTAACAAGCTCATAAACATTTTACCAAAAATTTCTATATTAGTAGAAACAAAACTTATCTTTATCATTGTTTAATGTATTTTCAGAAATTAATGAATGTCTGCAAGATAAATCTCTTTGTCGACCAGGAGGTGTTTGTCAGAACATAGAAGGTAGTTATCGCTGTGACTGCATACCACCTTTCATGAGAAGCTATGATGGAAAACACTGTGAAGGTTTAATCTTTTTTTATACTGTTTAATATTTAATAAAGTTTAAAGTTATTAACTACAAATATTTTACAATTATAATTGTATTAATTTATAGATAAAAGCATGGGATTATGTTTTTCAATTACTGATGAGAAATGTCAAGCTTCAACTAAAATGAATAAAGTTTCACAGCGTGAATGCTGTTGCATTGGTGGTGGCTTTTCTTGGGGGTCAGATTGTAGAAGATGCCCTAATTCTAACACTGGTATTTGTTTTTTTTTTCTAAATATTTCTTTGTTAATATGTTCTATTTAATACTATTGATACTTATTTAATGATTTATTTTTTTATGTGCATTTAAAAAATGATTTTATTTTGAATTTAAAACCATGTTTGGAAAAATGTATATTAAAAGATATATTAAAATGATTTAAATTTCTAAAAAACTTCATATAAAGTAATTACAAATTTAAAAGCTTTGTTTACTACCCCCTATTTTTGTTGTTGTTGTTGTTTAGCTGCAGGAAAGAGTTTATGTAATGGAAATAAAAATAGTAAGGTTTTTTATATGTACTTTTGTTTTGTACTTTTTTTATTTGTATTTTAGTATTAAAAAATTAAATGTGATTTTATGTTGTTGTTTAAAAAAAATTGTTTCAAATCAATTTTTGTTTTGTCAAATTTTAAGAAACAATAAATGAATGTGAATTTATTGTTGGAGTCTGCAGTAATGGTAAATGCATGGACTTGGCAGAAGGGTACCGCTGTATTTGTAATTCTGGTTTTAAATTATCAAGTGATGGCAAAAACTGTAGAGGTTTGTGCATAAATTAATTCGTTAATTATCTAATTATTGTTATCATAAAAATGTCAATTATTTTATGCAAAATAATGAATTAAAAGAAATAAAAATAAAACAAGCTTATATCAGGTGGTCCACAGTACTTTAGTTTTTAAATTTTTTAAGTATTTTATGATGTAAAAATTTTTTTATCCTATAAAATTTTTTTTTAATTTGTTTGAAGAGAAGAAAATCTAAGCCATTAACTATATTTTTGGGTAAATGTAGGAGGAGCATGTGAACTTTTTATGGTCGAACGTTTGTCCTTTTTGTGGTAGAGTAAAAAGTAATCTATTTTTACTTGACGTGTGTTTTTAAAATAAAAACTGTTTTGATAACTTTTTTTCGAACCATTTTTTAATAAATTTTAATTACATTACAAGTAATATTACTTAAGTGTTACTACAAGTAATTGACTTCGTTTTTACCACTAACTTAGTCCTCTCTATTCTCTCAAACATATCACAAAAAAAAAAAAAAAAAAAAACATACCACAACATATCACAAAATAAAAAATTATTCTATCAAACACACCACAATCAAAAAATTAATTAATCAAAAAATTGATCTTGCATAACCGTGTGCTTACAAAACCATTTACTTATATACTTTATAGAAGTTTTCACTGATATTTTCAAAATTTTACAGACATCGATGAATGTAAAGAAGGTATTAGTCAATGCAAAGGAGATTGTGTGAATACAGAAGGTAGTTACAAATGTGTTTGCCCAAATGGTTTTAAAGTTGATTCTGATCAAATAACCTGTGTTGGTGAGGCATTTTGTTTACATTGCTTGTCAAAAATATTTTTGTGACTTACTATATGTTTTGATAAAATTTTGCTGTTAATAATATAAATTTTATTTTAGTATAATTAAAAATAAATATATTTTGTAATTCCATTTTTTTAATTATTTAGATGAAGATGAATGTGCGACATCTAAACATAGTTGCCAGCACAAATGTGAAAATACAGAAGGAGGATATAAATGTGTTTGCAATGCTGGGTATACAATGGAAGGCAATAACTGCGTTGGTAATTATACATAGTTTGAAAAAATTTAAAATCAATTAATTTAAATAAGTATAATTTTTACCATAATAAGGTCAAAAATTGTACCTTTTTTTTATTTTACTTGTATTATCTATTTTTTTAATAGTATTTTTTATATTTTCCTTTTTACTTCACTTATATAGATATTGATGAATGCAAAGAGACTGGAATATGCGGTTTAGCTACTTGTAAAAACACTGCTGGTGGCTTCGATTGTGTTTGCAATAGGGGACTTAAATACGATGCTGACAAGAAATTGTGTGCTTGTGAGTCAATATTTAAATAATACCCAGCTGCATAAAAAGTTTGTTAGTTTGTCATCATAAATTTCTATGAAAATTTTTTATACTTTTCTATAGATGTTGCTGATACAACTCCTGAAGTTATAAATCCTCAAGGATGTGGTCAACCTGCATGTGGTTGCCCATATGGTTATTATCCCTACTACAGTCCTAATGGAGCAATGCAATGTGTTGGTAATAATGTTATAGTATATTTAGAATGATTGTTTACATAACTTTTGAATAAAATATAACGCCATTTTACTTTAAATGATCTTAAAATTTGCTTATGAAGTTAATAAGGTTGAATATAAAAATAATGAGGAATAATTTTTTCTCCAAGATATTAATGAATGCAAGCAAAACATGTGCGGCACTTCAACCTGTCTGAATAAATTAGGAAGCTATTCGTGTTTATGTCCAGCAGGATCAACTTTTCAAGGTGGTCGTTGTCAAGGTAAAAAGTATTTTATGTTAACAAAATTTGTTTAATCAGATCACCTTTATTTAACAAATTATTTTTCTGAAGGAAAATTCTTCTTAAAATAAATTACTAAGTTTCTTGTTTTATAATTTTGAAATTTATAAAATCATGTATGGATTATATGGCAATCATGGTTTAGACGAAAATGAATGTTCTGGTCAATCTCCGTGTTCATTTGGCTGCTCAAACAATAGAGGAGGTTTTGCATGTCAATGTCCTCCAGGGTACACCCCTGTTTCAGGAGGGTCAGTTTTTTAATTGGAAAAGTTTACTAAAATTTTCATTTGATTATTTAATTTACTTAATTTTATATTTAAATGTATTGCTTTAAAAGTATTTAAAATTAATATATAACTTTTTTATATTATATAATTAAAACATAGTATATTATAATTAATATTATATTATATTTTATATAAAAGTTTTTATAATTTTATTGTTATGATAAATATTCTTAGTATAATTATTGTTTATTAAATTACAATTATGTGTTACACCTTATTGATTTTATATTAGGCATTGTATTGCTACTCATGGGGCAGTATGTTTCACCTGTGATACCTCTGAAATTCCATCAGAAGGTGTGCCTCTCGGTAATCTTGAACAAGATTCTTCTAGTGGATATCAAGCAGCCGTCGGCAAGGGTTATGCTCCTTTAACTGGAAGTAGCTATCCTAATTTCGCTTCATTGGATAGAGGTTATTCTCCAGTTGGGGAAGTTCCAACTGATTCACAATATTTTTCTCGACATCAACAGAAAATTGCACCCTACCCTAAACCAATTGATTCAAACCTGAGAGTTAATTCCAAACAACTAAGCAGTAAAGTACTATCTACGAGATTAAATCCATATCAGCAAGCATATCAAACAGGCCGCCATAGTATTAAATTGCAAGAACAAGTTAATTTTGGTACATCTCAGACCAAACAACAGTTTAGCGACAGATCATACCGCAGTAGACGTTCCACCCACGAACTTACAAAGCCAATTGATATAACGATCAGTCATAAGACGCCACCTAGATCGCCAATTATGAACATTGTTAGCGTATTGAAAGCAATGGAAGAACATTACGAAATAAAGTCAGGAAATTCATCCTTGTTTACTCTTGCACCTGATTTAAATGGCGGCGTTTTTTTAAACATTACAACAGTTTTAAATCCCGGTATTTATAGGCTTGCAATTAGTACAGAGTACAAAAATGTTGAAGAAGAGCACAAAGAACAGGCGAAATCCTTGATGAGAGTTAGAGTCAAAGTTCTTTAAGATAGCACTTCACTAATTTTACTCAATTTGTTTTTAACTTTGGAGAATTTGTGCTATTGTCATGTTATTAAACTATTGATTACACTTTAGCTACTCCAAGACTTGTATTTACATTTATATTTATATTAACTCGTTTTTTACGTAAAACATCTGCATTAGTTGCGGGAAATAAATTTATACGGTATATAATTGTTTAAGCGTGAAATGTAGTGTGTTTTTAACATTTAAAAAAATAATCTTACTGAAAGAAACTTTTTTAATCAACACAGAGATTAACAAAATTCCTATGAAAATTTGGAATTTTTTTTATAGTTTTAAAACTGAATGAATTTTTGATCCAAATGTTTTACAAATTTTTTAATTCTAAGGAGTTGAAAAATAGGATTTTAAACAATTAAGTGTGTTTTTTTTATCAGACCTAATTTTTGAAAGAGTGTATATAAAAATAAATTTTTGAAAAGTTAATGATGTTAGAATAAAGATGGGGCCCCAGTCAAGACGCGATATCAATTTGATATCAGAATGATATTAAAACTTTTTTAAGCTATGATATCAAATAATGATATTATTATTATATCATACTGATATCATAACTTTGGAGGAAAAAACTTAATACACAGCAGAATTTCATATATTAGTTACAAAGCACAGTAAAAGTTAAGTTTTGCTCTTTTAATGTCCAAATAGTAAGTTTTGATTTATGAACTCATATTATAATATCATTATGATCTCAAGAATTTTGTCATTGTAAAATACAAGTTGCTTCATACTGCCAGAAAAAGTCTTACAAGAATTGATAATTTAATTCAAGATGGCTAAAAGAGATGCAAAAAATGGTAAGACCAAGTAAATGAAACTTTAAACTTATTTTATCGTTTGTGTAAACCTGTAAAAATAATTTTTTTTACTGCGTTCTCTTTCCTAAAAGCCGGACGTCTGACAACCCTACACATCACCTAACTATTTTAGAGTTAATTTTTAGTCTTTATATAGCATAAACTTTAGTACTTATTTTAAAAAAGGACATTTGTATTTAAGATAACAAATATAAATAACATTATTTTTGGTAATTTTTTGTACAAAAAATCAAGCAGTATCACCTGCTTTCATTGACCTTTATTTACAATTTATAACTAAATAACATAGTCAGAATGTTAATATGAACGTTTTAATTAAGTACATATTAGTAGTAATAGTAGTAATAGTAGTTTACTTTGTGTTAGACAGACCCAGCGAATTTGTTGTTTTGCACTCTACTTTTTATAGCATTACAGCAGTTATGTTTGATCGTTACTCAACCATTAATTAAAAGCTGTTATGGCTGTTACACCTTCAATTGTGAGTTACATGCATCTAAAATTCTGTGAAAAAGGAAATACTCCCTTTAATTAAGAGAAAGCAATTCTTTTTTAACATAACTGCAGCTTTAAGAGTCATTTTTAGCATAATTGCAGCTCTAAGAGTCCTTAAGCAACCCCTCTTAAATAGTTTTAACAAATGGACAGTGTTTCCCAATATTTATCTTGTCAATGTCATGCATAAGTTTATATAATTGGAATAAATCTCTCCTTTTTATATTCTCGGAGTTGACATGCTTATGGCAATCAGTATATTTGAATGTTTATTTGAACAAAATTTTTACAAAGCATTCATATCAATTATTAAATCTGTTATATTATTAAACATAAATTATTTAAGAAGTTCCAAAAGTAGAAGATAAGCACAAATGATTAAGCAGTGCTTGTAGAAAGACATTTAAATTAGCATAGTTAGTAAATACCCTTTTTAACTATGTTGTAAATATAGATATTAAAAATTTTTGTTTCTTAAATAAACAGTTAATAGAACTTAATAGAAGAACTTAATTGGACTGAAATCCATAATAATAGGATTTTAATCCATAAATAGAAGTTAATAGAACTGAGATCCATAAATGCAGCAGAAAAAATTTAAGAATTTAACACCGATAGTTAAAGCAGTAATTATGAAAGTAATAATGATATTTTGCTGATATTTAAAGAAGACCTAGCCGGTGGGCTGTTAAATGTTGAGTAATATAAAAAGGGTAACTACATTGTAATCACTTTTGTGTAGATCTTCCAGCACAAGTTATGACGCTATTGAAAACGCCTTAAAACTCAGATATTACTATAAAGTTAGTAAAGTTGAAGTATATTACTATATAGTTAAAGCAGTAATTATAAAAGTAATAATGATACTTTGCTGATATTTAGAGAAGACCTAGCCGATGGACTGTTAAATGCTCAGTATTATAAAAAGGGTAACTACATTGTAATCACTTTTGTGTAGATCTTCCAGCACAAGTTATGACGCTATTGAAAATGCCTTAAAACTTAGATATTACTATAAAGTTAGGTTTGTGAATCTTCCAAGATATTTTATTTGTTAGATTTATTTAAAAATTTAATTTTTTGCATTGAATACTTTCCTTTTATTATTTTTTTGCAGTTATCTTATTTTTACTTTGTTATTTTTTTTTCTTTTAACTGCATTTAGTTGCATCATATTACTTCTTTATTGGTTTAGTTGGTGAATATATGTATTTTAGGATAAAAGATGGTATTTTGATAAAAAGATAGTAATAAAAAAAATTAAAGACGGTATTTTGAGATTGAAGCAATAATATAGACTTTGTGAAGTTACTATTGACAGACTGCCAATCCATAAATGTGCAAATATGTTTCTCTGGCTAATCTAGTGTTATGCTGAAAATATTTATGAATCTATTTCATTCGTTGTGGCGTTGTTTTGTGGATTACAGAAGTCAGCTAGTTTAGAACACTTGAAAGACTTCACGGGGAGTTAAGCAGTATTAAGGGACATCTCATGTATGCGGTAAAACCACTGATTGAGCAACTCCTTCCCATTGTACACACATATACGTTTTTTATGTCCCCCTTCTCCGCCCACTGCATGCGTATGTATTATTACAAAATCAACCTCTTGCCCCCAACTCTTTTCCAATATATAATTTTTTCAAAGCATTTAAAACAAAAAAATTTTAGTTATTTTGACATCACTCATAACAGTTATTGATTTTGTTACATAACAGAATAATAATTTTTTGAACTCATGAAACTCTATGCTTTTGTTAATAAAAAAAGAAATCAAGTTTTAAAATAGATAGAGAATCAGAGTTAGTCACACCGAGTACATACTTGCTGTCTTTAACCACCTCAATCCCAACCTCTCTCTCTTGTACGCATTTATAAGTTTTTAGGTAACCCCTCCCCTCATACCTTGCACCGTATCTACTTTAAGTGATATCCTTTGTGTCGAAAAATTGATACAAAGGATATCACTTAAAGTAGATATGGTACAGCAGTTCCCTCTTAACGCAAATCAAGGTGCGGATCTCCCTTGTACTAAAAATATACATTTTTATATGGAAAAGGGGCTGCTTTTTCTTTGATTGTCATCAGAGTTGCCATCTGGTGTTTTTTAAAGCCAGATTTCTCAAATCTGATTTGTTTTTTTATCGTTTGGTTTGGAACTTTTGTTTTGGTTCATTTTAGAAAATCTGTTTTAAATCTAGTTTATTTTAAAGATTTTAGTCTTTTTTTTTGATTTTTTCTGGTAGGTTTTTTATAATCTGGTTTATTTAATATTGAATCAACTTAATCAAGTTTTTATTTCATGAAAAAAGTTTTGAGAAAACATTTCATGAGAAAACATTTTTGAGAAAACATTTTTGAGAAAACATTTCATTTTTGAGAAACATTTTATTTTTGAGAAAATTTTTCATTTTGAGAAAACATTTCATTTTTGAGAAAACATTGCATTAGAAAACATTTTGGAGAAAACATTTCATTTCATGAAAAAAATTGCGGGAAAGATTTACATTTTTTCATTTTATAGAAAAACAGTCAAGTTTGAAATAAATGAAAGAAATGCTTACATTAATATCTTAAAATGTTAAAAACTTTTAGTTGTAATGTCACTAAAATGTTGTTTTTATCCCTTAATTGCCAAAAATATTAGAAAATTCTTACATTCAAAATGACATTTTTTAAGAAAAATCTGCCTTTAAAGAAGGTTGTTTCCCAAGTTGGAAAGACCATTTCAAAAATAGTGTTACATCTTAATGATGCAAAAAGTGAAGAAATTGAAAATCATTACAGAAACCGTCATTAACCATAAATTAATTGACATTGCATCATAGAGCGAGTGTTAAAACTTTTAAGAAAAATGAGTTTCTAAAAACACCGCTGAATTCTAAACTGCTTCGTAAGACTATTTAGAAGTTTCCGGAGATCTAGACCTCGGCAACATAGATGCCTACTGCATTGGCTGTCTATGTGTTCCGTTTCTAACTATTTTGTTGAGTCTTCTCACAGGTCATCTGCATAAAAATCAGACTAAGAAAATATCAAATTAAGTCTTGCATGCAGTCATTTCGATCAAATAATATTTAATAGGGCGAAAGATATTTTACCAGGATTTTAAAATAATTGAGTCAATTATCGCAAAGGTTGGAAAAGAAATCTATATCCATATGCAAGCGAAAAAATATATAAATATATTTTACAGGTTAATAGTGTCGGATTTAGTATAGGTATTTGGGAGTGAACAACTTTCCCCACGCCGCTTTGAAAGCTGGACTGGCACCTCATTAAACATTTACTAACTTGTTATTCTCCTCCCTCACTCTCTTACAAATTAAATCTTGTTTTTCAAGGATGAATTTTTAGATAAAAAAGCATTTTTTTCAAAATATAAATTATAAACAAGGCATTAAAACAAAACTTGATTTATATCTGGGTTTTTTTGTTTCGTTTTTGGCTTTTACCCGAAAAAAAATCTAGCAACCCTGATTGTCATCTGGGCAAATTAATTTATTGACTGTTTACATATATTCCTTAAAAAAATATATTTATATAGAATTTTGTTGTAAATCATGTTGTAAAACCAAGTCAAAATATATGAAGATGTGAAAAGCCTCTGAATCCAGAACTTTTCTTTTATATTGTGGGCAAGTGGTTTCGAATCATGTACAAAGCAAAGAAAAATACATTCATTTTTTAATTGTTAGTTTAAGTGTAGCTACTCATATACTATACAGAAAAGATTTATTGACTCAATAAGGTTATGTTCATGAACTTCTTGTTGAATTGAGAAAACTGCCGGGGTATTCTAATTATTTACAACTTTCATTGTTGAAATTATTTAGCTTATGATAAAAAAATGATAAAATATCCATCTCAAGTAGTAGCTCAGAATACTCAG